GGTGGACTTGTCATTGCTGTAGCGTCACATGTTTACCTTGGGGGAGGGCATGCATTCTGAAATCTCCTGACTAGTACGGGCACTTGCTGGTGGAGCGACTCCAACAAGCCTGGCAGTTGGATTGGCCTTCATGTGTTTGGGGCTCAGCCTACCAAGCTGCTGTTGGGGGGGGTTAAGGGCGGCGGCATGCAAACGATCACTTGTGTGATGCCCTTGATGCTTTTTTCTCGACTGGCTCAGGAAGTCGCCCGGTCTATACGCCCGATCATTCAAGTTACAAGGCAAAGCGGGTGAGGTAAAGCCTGATGAGATGAGTGCCGCTCAGCATGCACGGGATGAGGTGTTGGCAGCTTGCTGCTGCTGTGTGGGATGATGCACAAGCTGGGAACTCTTTGGGGCAAGCTGTAGGCTGGTGAGAACCCAAGGTCCAATTCTACGTTGGTGGCTGCTTCGCCGCACAGATGTCTGCATACAAAGCTCGCAGCTCTTTGTTTCTACTGGGGCAAGGCCTGTGGTACACTCTTCAGACATTGACCTACACGGAGCAATGCACCCCTTTGTCCCCAGACTTGTCCACAATCTTCGGGAATGTGCCTCGGAGCCAAACTGATGTGGTCACGGAAAGACAGCTAGTGAAGCATATTCCCAGCCGAGTGCATGCTTTGGGCAGTGAAGGAGTTTGACACTGTGGCACCGCGCGTTGTGAGCAGCGATCCGGACATGTCAAGCAGTTTGGCGGTCAGCATCACCCAGAGGATCTCACTCGTGTTCAGTGAGCGGATCAAGCGCTTTGGCACAAGAAAACCCTAGCCAGCTTGCACTCCTAGCCAGCTTGCAGGATTGGGCAGCCTGTGTTATTTGAAGCCGAGATCAGTGGATTCTTTGGTTTTACCTCTGAGGATCGTGCCCGGCAGCCAGGTCAATTTGGTGGATGCTGGAGCTGATGGCTTGTGCAGCACAGCAGATGACACAGTCTTGGCCATTCCAGTTGATCTGCCCACCGCCTTTGCCAGAGGCCAAGTACATAAGCATATGCTGCCTGCATGCTCATTTGTGGCCTTTTCTTCAGTTCCTATGATTCTATGAGTCCTACCAATGCAACACATCGAACGGTTTTCCTGTGACAAGGTGCGAAATGACACAGTGCCCTGGGTCTACATCACGGGAAACACAATGCTGGTGCGATACCCGTATCAGGACATGCGGCTTGGCGTGAGGGCATCAGATGGTCTCTTTAGAAGAGGATTTGCAGCCAAGGACGGGTGGCAATTACCATTGCTTGCAGATTGAGCCTGGAATTGTCCAAGATCTGGCTGGCACACCATTTCCAGGGCTTGTAGGTGAAAGCCTTATGAGGTAGACTCACATTTTGTCAAGGCTCACAATGCGCTTGCACGGCTGAGGCGAGGACTTCCGCTTCCTTGCAGCCTTCACTCCGTTCCAGGATGCGACTGCTCCTATACTAGTCGCTACCGAACCGCCCTCAGGCCAGACCATCATGTCCTGTTGACGGAATCGGCCCTGTCCCGCGGCTTACTTTGTGGAGATGAGAAAAAGCGACGCACGTAGGAGGTATGGCCCGAGAACCTTTGATCTCTCGTGTTCATTGTAGCTTGAGGACGCTTTTTTCCAAAGCTTGGGCACTGCCTCAAACGTGGGCAGCTTGAACGTAGCCTCTTCCTTGTACAGGTGTTTCCTCCAGATTGTAGTTAAGACAACTGAACTTAACGGGCAGCCCTTGCCAGGGACTGAACTGGAGGGCCTGCAGATCCATTCCTTTAAGATCTTCATGAGCTGCTTGGCTTCTGAGATTCAGCTGTTTGACCGGATTTTTGGTTTGTTGATTCAGATGTGCACTGATGGCCGGCAATTTCTCAAGCTAATGCTCCCCACCCTTTCCTCAGTGGGGCCATTTGAATGGATGGTGATCTTTGTATCTTTGGAGGCACAGGCTGGGCCCCGACTCCTCTGTCAGGGCCGTGGCATGCTCGATGCGATCATGCACTGATCCTTGTTCGGGACTCTGATGCCCCACTGGTGTTCTCAGCTTTGCTTTTGGGTGGAGTTTCCTGCGGCCGTGTTTGGCAAGATGTTTGGCACAGTCGAGATGTGGGAGCGTCATGGCAGTGCAGCACGCCGAGCGCTCCATGGCCAGCTCGGGCTGGCCTCGCGGCTGCAGGTCTGAAAAGTGGTCGGGCGCTGGTGGTCGCTGGGACTGGAGGCCGTGGCCTGCACCAGGACGTTTGGCGGAGCGAAGACTCCATTGGCCGCAACTGGGCCCAGCTGGCCGAGGGCCCCTGGCTGCCACGCTATGGCCATTCGCTGCTGGTTGCTGACATTGCTGGGGCAGAGGTCTTGGTTCTGCTTGGAGGTGTTGGATTGAGGCGGTACTTCAATGATGTGTGGCGCAGCTCCGATGGTGGAGAAACTTGGGAGCAGGCTGCGTCGCGCACTCCATTCGCCCCGCGTGCAGCAACTGCTGCTGCTGTCACGAGTTCTGGACTTTTACTCCTTGCTGGTGGCAGAGGTGAGGACACGTACTTTTTTGACATGTGGTTAAGTGCCGATGTTGGCTCGTCCTGGTCAGAACTTACGTGGGACGGCACAAGCCCATTGCCACTCAGCGGCGCAGCCCTAGTACCGATGGAGAAGGAGACATTCCTGATTCTTGGGGGGTTTGACGGCGGCAAACACTGCAACCATGTGTGGCAGTTTTCCGTCTCCTCGTGTCTAAAATCGGTTCATTGGAAGAGGCTGCCTGATGCTAGTTGGAAGCCACGGTATTGCCACCGAGCAGTGCTTTTGGACAGAAGCCTCATCATTCTGACGGGTGGGTATGGCATTGCAGACGGCGACTTTGGGGACACTTGGACAAGCCCAAGTTTGGATTCACTTCGCCGTGAGTCGTTCAGACTTCAACTTCTCGGACGCGCAATTACAAAGCGGTATGGCATTACGACGGAGGTGTGGACTGGTTCGATCCTTCCTTGTCTGCTTCCTGACATGTTGATAAGCACTGGAACAGCGAGTGTCTTGCAGACTGGCTCTAGCAGCAGAATGGACACTGCAGAAACTTCTGGCGGATTGTTACCCCCTGCAGCGTAGTTAATGTGCCTAGGGCTACGTGTAAAAGGGTTGCCGAAGGGCAATAGGGGTGGAAGCTTGTTGTTGTTGGATGTGTCAGCAGACTCGTTCATCTTCTTGATGCCACCTTTGTCGCACCAATGCACGCCCAACACTGCGCGTGTGAGCTGCCATTTTGGTATGATAGCCACCCAGCCTATAGCAGGTTTGCTGCTAATGATGAGATTAAGCTCGTTGCATCCCAGGCCTTTCGATTCATTGTTCTGGAGAGCATGAAGCTGAAATTCAGGGCATAGCACATGGTTAGTTTCTTCGTTTCGATATGTTGACATAGGTACAGCTGTAGGCGCGGACATCGACTTGCTTTGAGACACTCTGGAAGGTAGCAAGCGCATTGACAGGACATTGACATGGTGCAATCAGACAGTCCACACAGGCAGGTGCTGACAAGAGGAGAAAAAGGAGTGAGTTTTGCTGGTGCTGTGCGAGAAAGCTGCATTTTGAAGCCTGTCCCTCTGATTTCGATGTCGTTCGCATGAGTAGCCCAATAGGATACCGAAAAGCACAAGCAATTCCTGCCAAGGCGAGAGCGTTGTTCCGAGTGACGAGAGGCGCTTCAGCAGCACGCATGAGTGCATTGTGACGCGTGTGCGAGGGGGGTGTGCGCGCGCCAGTGCATGCTTGACAGATTGCCTGACCTGCCAGTCTCATGGTACGTTCCGCGCAGATTGCGGGTCCGCATGAGATTTACCTCACCACCCTCATGGCAAACGGTGATCCGGTGGCAAAACGGCACTTCTGGATTAGTCCTTTTTCACGAAGTCAGCCAGAGGCAGCCTCGACGTGAACGGTGACCACATCGTCATCCCTTTCACGCCAGAACAAGACGTCACGACTCCAATGCATTTGAGCATCAGCGACTCCATCCTCTCGGTTCCTCAACAGCATGCTTTGCCGCTGACTTGGGAGCGTGTGCGGACAGTCCCTGCGAGTCATCAATGGGCAGCTCCTCCCTACGTAGAAGTACTGTATGCAATTGTAAATGCTTGTGTGCTTTCGGCGTTCCTCGTGCCGGGCTAGAAAAGTTGCGTAGAGTTTCCAACGCGGACTACGCAGGAACACCGTGTTGTGCAAGGTCTGCTGAAAATGACAAAATGAACCTGGTCTACGCTCGAGCACTCGTGCAAATTTTGTCGCAGCACATGCCGAGTTCCTCACGAGGAGCAGCTAAGGTGACTCTGAACAAGACCCTGTTGAACTTGAGCAGCAATCAGTCATGCAAACACGTTCGTTCGGTCAGGCGAACGGGTGTCACTCTCGTGGTATCAAGTCCCTCCAAGGATCGGAAGAAGGTACACCATTTGGATTGCAGCTAACTCGTTCACAGCCGCCTATCTGAGACGAGAGTCTGTCGTCAAATTTTCGCGTACCATCTTCACTTGCTTTGGGCCCTGTTGCTGACCAAACATGACAAGGACCAGTCTACCACGTCGATTTTTGATATTACTGGTGCACCTGCGCTGATACCCAGAAATTTTGATGGGCTGACTCCTGGCACGGTTGTCTTCGATGTGGCTGCTTGAATGCATATGGGAATCAGCGTAGCGATGCACGAGTTGGCATGACCTTGGATGAAGTGGAGTTGCAGGCGAGCAGTTTTTTTGCTAGCTTCACGCCCGTCTTTCCTTGCCCATAAGACGGCAGTCATGACCTGGACTTCTGCTACCGTGGCCTCCTGCATGCCTGACAGGTTGAACCAACCGGTCTGGAGCAGAACCCCTATGCCAAGTCCACCATTCCAGTGTGGGACGTGGAGGTGGACGAAACAGTGAGGCCCGAGAAGGCAGGGCTGGGTCCTGGAATTCAGCTGACATCAATTCACATGTTTGTTTTTTCGCCTTGGCAAGGAGCCGCTGATGCCCTTTCATTTGGACCACTGCTATGTGGATACGCCAAACTGCACCGACCCCAATTACACCAATGGAAGCAATGGAAGCTTCTGGGGACGAATTGAGTCGCCGTAGTGGGTGTATGGGGTGTGCAGTTGGGGACATGTTGGCCCTTGCTATCCAAGCTATAGCACTGCCTTGGCCCAGGCAACTGCACATCTTGGGAAAACATTTCTGTACTGAGTGGCGCGGCAGTTCGGGCATGGATTTCCCTTCATGTTCTCCTTGAAAATTTAGCAAGCAGCGAGGTGGACTGCTTGTATTCCATTGTATTCCAAGGCGTGTGCGACTTGACACCTCGTACTGGCAGGGGCTTTGCGGAAGTCAGGGAGAGGGATTTGTGGCTGCAGCCCTGGCATTGGCTGCGCGCAACAGCGCAGCAAGCAACATTCCAGGTGGAATTGGACGTCCCTTGGCCGAGCATTTTAAATCCCATAGCTGATGACGCTCCCATGGCTTTGCACAACGAGGTGAGGGATGCCAACTCGCCGGTGTTGATCAAGTCGAGGGACCAGGCACCAGATGTAAAGCAAATCAATTGAACTCACAATGCACTCAACGTACTGGATTGTAGCAATGAATGTCGTGACTTACCGCGAGGAGGTCCGGGTCATGGCAGGCATAGCGCAGCTCCTCACTACCTCCGAGAACAAGGGCCCCTTTGTTTTGCAGGACCTGCAGTTAGACTTTGTCATGGGAAGTGAAGGGCTTGAAGGCAGCAGCCCTCCAGGACGACGATTTCACGGAGATCTTTGTGGAAGTTTCAGTTGAGCCCGCAGGAACACTAAGCCACTTTCCTGCAATGATCTTCAGCAACACTGCCTCCCCTCATCGACCTGGTGCAATTGTGCAACCAGGATGAGGCCCATGCTTGCATTTTAATACAAGTTTCCAGAGTAGTCATGTCGTTGACGATCTATGTAGCACCCAAGCACCGGTTTAAGTGAAATGCACGTGGCTTAGCCTAACTCAGTGTGCACGCCCCTTTTTTTTGCGATGCCGCTTCTCAGGTGTTCTTCCATCTGCTTGGCGAGACTGGGGTGGTCGTGTGAACATCACTTATGATTTCCCCCCAGTGGAGCCGGACTTCGGCTGCCAAGCTGCAAGGAGACAGTCTGTACTTCTGTACTCTTCATGTGTAGGGCTTTGGCAGCCGAATACACAAGGTTCCTTGGGCCAGGGTGACCTCACGCCAACCTCTCTGGAGGGACGTCCTGCTTCAAAGTTGTCATTCCACGGAATGTCAGTGTAACTTGGCAGCAGGGGCCCAGGGTTCACATGGGCAGAGCTGTGGCAGTGCACTGCATGCGCATGCGCGGCATGGAGGTCTGTGGAAGCGGCGTTGAGCAATCTCACCTACCAAGCACCGGCAGAGTTTGAAGGGGTCGCCCTGATGAAAGTTTTACTTCGCAGCGCGGCTCAAACCGTTCGTACTTCCACTGTTCTTGTATGGTTTTGCGTTGCCCACCATCACGTGAACTTGGAGGAGATGGTGGCTTTGTCCGTGAGGAGGTCTTGCTGATCAATGTGGTGCTGCCTCAGTCTTCCTTGCAGGCCATCATGATCTGGATGTCTTGATCGGATGGGTGTACCAAGATGCACTCTTTGAGCCGACAGGTCATTTCGCAGCCAATGGCCAACGTGACAGCCACGTCTTTCAAGCAGCACGATTTGACATCCCTTGGCTGCGACTGGAGCTTGGCTGACGGGCCGGGGGCACTTTCGGTGGACGTGAAGTACGACATGAGGCTATGCTGCAACTGGAGAACGCTTTTTCAGGCCGTGCAATCGGCAACATGGAAAATGGAAAGCCTGATCCATAGCTAGTAAGAGTTTCCAAGGACTGTCTTCGTTCTGGATCCACTGGCCTGTTCGGCCGTGCTCTTCGAGGATCCTCAGAAGGCAGCTGAGAGCGTAAAGAAATTGAGGCGTGCTGCGCAATCTGGAAGTTAGAGTGCTACCTCGCAAATTACAAAGGCAACATACACTGAAGTTTTCCTTGAGTCAAGGACTGTGCATCTCGGCCGTTGCAGGGTGGACTCGGGGGGTCTTGTGCCCCAGATTGGGCAAAGAACTCTGCTCAGCAGGCAAGGGCTTTCTCAAAATGGAGGTACCGTAGAGACCCCAAAAATAATTTCGGGGATAGTCTAGGGCTTATGGGGTTGGTAGGTTGCTTGTGTTTCCTCGGACCCATCATGGAATGTATGAGGTTCAGTCCTGGGAGTCGACAGAGCGAGGCTATAAAGTCCTCCATCTCCAAACGGGAAGCTTTGCATTACTGCAGCCCGGCAGAGCTTCAAATTCATCATCTTTGTCGTTCCACGGCTGGCTGTTTGGTAGACTGTGGCATGCCATGTCTAGGCACCATCATCTGCAAAGCTCGCTGATCTTCCAGCCTTGCGCCTGTCCAGCCACAAATCGCTTTGAATGCAACCAGACAATCTTTGTGGCCGTGGAACGCAGGAGGGCAGCACTGCGACTCACTGTACAGGCTTTCATGACACTTCAAGGTACGATGCTTCACAACACACTGCATGCCAGAGGAATCGCAACGCGCCGGAAATTATCGAAGAGGTCGCAGAGTCGCGCTGCGTAATGACCGTCACCGCACCGCTGTCAGTCTTTGTGCCATGGCTGAAGTATCCGGGGCCCGGAATCTCCATGAATATGATGTTTCTATCTGTGGGATTCTCTGCTTCTAGCGACTCTAGTGTTGTCCTCAGGTGGCGCTAAGAGGCTTGCCGCTGGCGGTGGATGAGGTGCGGAGTACTCGTAAGTTAGCCAAATCATATAAATGTCCGTGAAAAGGCTTAGTGCCATCAAGTGCTCACCTCTTTTGCTTTGGCGACTTCCTCTGTCCACCATGTTCAGAAAGCGCGTGGAAATGCTTGCGATGAGCGTTGCTGATGCAAGCCAAGAAGTTCGCAACAACAGAAATCCTAGGCATAGCGTCTAAAGAGCCATCCCTATTTCCACGGCACGGAGTCATCTAACGGCAATGCCTTGTGTGCGCAAGGATGGTGTGCTGCCACTAGCGGAGCGTCTCTACATGGAGGGTAGGTCCCCAAGTGCCTTCCGTTTCGCCGTCTTTGCAGAGCACCACAGCTTGCACTAAATGATTCTTGAGAGCCTTGCGGGCCTTGAAGACAGACGAAGTAAAGCTTCCGCAGCCCGCCAGCTAAGAGCCACAAGGTACGGCAACATCTCTGCTGAGGGCACGGCCGGCATCGAAGTCAACAACAGCAAAGCATTTTTGCAGGCCCGAATCTAGTTTGCTGTTTGTTGATGCCCAGTTGCTATTGTTGCTGCACCTCTGACCTCAAACTTTAGCAAGTACCTACTGCACTACAGCCTTCGCGAGAAAATGCTTGGAAAAGCTGCTGTGCAGACACAGTTGAAGCATTGTTGGCACAGATCTTCGGCTATGCGTGGAACAAGCCCATCTGTTTAAAACAAGATGGTTGACAAGCTTCCTCATCGGGACTGAGGCCCTGCTTGAAATCCTCTGAACCGCCTAGCAGGTGCGTGTGGATTCCATTCAAGATCTCGTGCAATTGCTCGATCTTCGGAAGGCAGGGTTCTACAGCCCTGCAATGTCACCTTGTGAGCTGGACGTTGGGGTATCGCTGCAATTCGCTGCACCTGCAGGTCAGCTACGTTCCGCAAATAGATTTTTGGGGAGAGGACATGCTTTACATCCATTTTGAGACCATCGTGGCGACTGGAATGCCGCTTGGGCGGAGCAAGCTCAAGCAAAGCTCAAGCAAGCCTGAAACATGCATGACGCAACATGATGATTGCTGCAAGTGTTGAGTTCTGTGAGGCTGGGCAGTGCTGAAGCTTCAGCTGCTGCAGAAGGCTTCTCATTTCTCGTTGCAGCCTGGAAGACACCTAGTCATGCCGAATCTGCAGTAGGATAGAACACAAAGGAGTTTGAGCGTGAGCTGCAAATGGCCACAAGGAAGTTCGACCTCAGCTGGACACGCCACGCATCTACATCAACCACGGAAGTGCTGCGGGAGCTGTGGCAAAGCATCCGCACCATGTGAATGTGAGCGTTTGGCATCCTGACTTGGGTGCCGAGGACTAGGGGGCAAGCCTTTGCAGAAGCCTGCGCGGCCTGTAGCAACCGTAGTGAAAGGAATGCAAACTTTTCAAGTCATTGCTGCTGAAAGGACCATGCTCGGGTCTACGTGCAATCACCATTTGGCGATTTGAGCTTCCCTGAGCTGGACAAAGTGATGGATGATGTCGCTCCAGGCCTGAGCGAGTTCTTTGCAGATGAGGAATTTAACGCACCGGCAGAGGCAGAAGCCGATCCGAAGATTCAAGCTCGCGATGGGATTTGGCCCCCAATCTCGATGTTTGAGTCATCTGTAGGGGACGGGTATACAATTTCCGGAACGCTCACGTCTGTCAACCGAGTGCTGTCAATGATGCAGTTTACTCCTCCGGCAGACTCGCCAAATTCTGGATCGTTGAGTGTCACAGTGCACCGAACACCTTCCTCAGTTGAACTAGAAGTTCTGGACCCTGACAAGTTTCGGATGAACATGCCGGTGAGCCAAAATGAGTTTGATGTGGACATTGCACCGCTGACAAAGTCTGAATACCCTTGCTTCATTGGTGGTCCTGCTGCTACCTTCGTCAATCCGGGTGAGGATGCAAGAAATCTGGGCGTGACAGTGAGCCCAGAGTTCTCAGCTTCAACGGAGGTCACGGCCCAAATAGCTGAGCGACTTCATGAATTTCGTATTTCAGTCCGAAATGGGCGGATAGGTTTGGATGTCAACAAATATCCTGCTGCAAGGATTTGCCCACCTTTTTATCCGGATGTGGGAGGGTGTGCCAAAGATGAGATCGATGCTTGGGTCATATATGGCACCATCGAGCAAGCCGCCTTGGCCATCGAGTCCGTTGTGTACACCCCTCCTGTTGGATACGCCGGTCAGGACCTGATGCGAATTTCTGGCAGCTGCTCAGCCGTCACGCTGGATGCTTGGCAGAGTGGCGCAATTTCTTGCAAGGGCAGGGCGCTGCTAAGAGCTCGCAGGCCTACTGTATCATTTGGGTTTAGCTTTTTGCTCACAGGACGTTTCAGCTAGGAAGTGACGCTGAACATCGTGAAGGGCTTCTCGCCTCCGCGCATCCGTTGCTGTGACGCAGGGACTTCCTTGCAAGCTTCTTGGCTCCAATAAGTTCGAGTCCGTGATCCGCTGGCGTTGTTGCTCTGCTCGAGTTTTTCCCTCTTGTCAGGTGAATCGTGCCTTGGAGCCTTCAGCAGTGCCTCCTTGCTATTTGGAGCAAAATGCACCTGGAATGAATTCCTGGCTGGTGCTAGCACAATGATCCACGAAGATATTTCCGCGGCACAGCAATTAATGACTGAGGAATATGGCGAAATACCTGCTGTGGCACAAGTAACTCTCAGCACCGACATCGGGCAATTGGCTTTTTGGCCTGTGGCAGGCAGGAGGGGACTTCGTGCTTCATCTGCTGTCTGCATTTCTTCCCCTTCCGCAGTCCTGGAGAGGTCTCTACTTTGACCGCAGCCGCGACATTATGCCTATGCACAATGTTTCCTCGCGAATCGTTGCAGCCCGAGCAGCAGTTGGATCTCATGTGGGCTTTTCGTTTTCTCTTCATTCCTGTTATTGTTACTTCGGTTGGGTTGGAAACCCTGCACGCGCTGCGAGACAGCGCTAAGCAGCCAGTCTGCAGGTCGAAGGCATGCACAAATCATGCACAACTGCCGAGACAATGCATTCAAAGCGGCCCAGGGCCTCATGGGCTGCGCCACCCCTCCCGCATTGTTGCCACGCAAAGCAAGAGCTACAAGAGCACCCTGACCACCCGTAGGGGTAGGTGTAGCCCCTAGAAGAAGAAGAGCTAGGCAGACGTTTCGCCTCTAGCTGCAATACTTGACTGTATCTAGGGAAACGCGCTTGTCCCGTATCCTTACAGGAGGTCCATGTCGTATATCCCGTCCAGGGTGCAGCACTATTCTGGACCGAAGGATGTCATGAGACGAGTAGCGATTCGGGCTAGCATGGTGCTTGCAGTGTTTCAGGTAGTTTCAGCTGGTGAGCGCCTATGCAGGAATTCAGCATCTGCAACAGTCACATGTTGTGCTCAGCTCGGCTTGTAGCTGAGTCGGCTTCACCTTCCTTGTAAGAAATGTGCCAGCCAGGATTTCCAGCCTGGGTTGTTGTAGATTTGCATTATTCATATTTGAGCTAGCTTCAAGTGGCCAATCCTGCAAACCTGCCACTGAGTAGGACATTCGTTCACATGGGTTGACGCTGCTTGTCAGGCAAGTGGGCCTGGCAGCACAGTGCAGCAAAGCCTGGCCACCAAATTGGCCCTGCTGTTTGTGCCGGAGACGGAGATGCGCCCTGCTGGGCAACTGACAGTGGAGGCCAAACCACGCGAAAAAAGAAGCAACCTGGGCTGCGCTTTACACCTGCACTTGCAGTGACAGAGGTGTTGGATGCTCGCTCCGGGCTCAGCTCGGCATCCACCTGCCCAATCTACGTGCTGACCGGGAGGACCCGGAAGTCTATTGATTCGGCTGTAGTGCCTGTTTTGATGCACCACTGCCGTTGTCAGGAAAGAGGGCCTCCCACTAGTCCAGGTGAACCTGCCAACGCCAAATGCCAGCTACTTGCTGTCAGGCAGGGCCATGCCCCGCACTTCATCAGCAGCCTTTCTTCCGACTAGTTGCTTGACAGGCCGACTGGGTGCACGGCGTCAAGATGCCTTATTTGGCAGCTTGACTTTGGGAAATTTGTCTTGGGACATCAGCGTGCAGCTCATCAGCACATCCGCATGCTCCTGAAATCAGGCTTGGAGATGGCTGTGCCATCCTTTGGTTTGATAGCTGCTGTTCCGCGCACAGCTTGCCTGGTGATCTTGCGTGCTCCGAGAGGCTCACCTGTTTCAGAGTAAGTACAAGCTTGACTAAAAGCTGGTAGATTGAGATTCCAAAGGGGAGCTGGAACCTCCGCAGCTGCCACCTCGACGCCTCGCTGTACGGTGGAGCCAAGATCCAGATTCCTCTTATCGCCTGCTGGCAGAGCACCCCTTCTTGCACATAGCAGGCATAGCCTTGGGGTCGTGTAGAGGGGCTCTCCAAGCTTCATATTGACTGACTTCGTGGACCCAGCTAGCATGAAAACAGGGAAGAGGCCACAAGAAAAGGTGAAAGCACAACTGCCAAATTGATCTAACGTTAGAGAATCTAGTGGTGGATGCTCCGTGCTCCTTCTTGTTTCATGGGGTCATCAATTGCTTATGATTTGGGATTGTGCGTGAATGTCATATCTCGGCCTCAGCTTTGCCCAGCCAGACATGCTCTTCTAAATTCCTTGGGACATACTTCCTTACCTGCGCCAGAGGGCTACTGCTGCAGCGGGGATCACCGCATTACCACTGCAAAGCTGTTGGGGTATCGGAGTGTGGCAGCTGGAAGGGAGCGGACAATCTGGTGATTGATCAGGTTGACCGTGCTGTTTATTTGGCAGGAAACAATGAGAACAGCTCGAGATCAGTGCTTGACCCGCCAGCTGAGGAGCGCTGAAGATGCTACGGAAGTTCTAAGTCAGTTGCGATATGCAATATCAGAAGCTGAGTTGGAGCGCCTGCCCATGGTGGTCCCCATCGAGATTTCAGTCTATGCGCTGCCGTCTGCACAAGTGAAGGATTCCAATGAAGGCATCCTCAGGGATCAGCGCATTTTGCAACTCGAGATCAACTGCGAGCCTTCGGTACCAATACTTGAGGTGAGATCAGAAGAGCTTGAGGTGCAACGAGGCCACCCCCTGAGTTTGCAGATGCTTCGCATGGAGCTTCACTATCCTCGGAGCATGGTGGTGCAGCTGCTCTGCAGCTCTTGCACATTCCTCGAGAATGATCTCCGCTGGCATGGCATGCATCAGGTAGAAGGCACCGCGCCTGTCCTGCAGAAGTACATAGATAGTCTGCAACTGGAAATCAGATGTCCCTCATGCGATGCCGACCGGGTCATGCTGAAAGCCTGGGACCCTGATGCCCTCCGGAGAGTTGGTGACGAGACGACCCCCTCGCAGGGCAATCTGATTGCACAGGCATCAACACAAGTCCTTGTCCGCACAAGCCGGCTGGCACAGGGTGAGCCAATTCTTCGCGTTCTGAGTGTCGGTGTTTTGGCCCACGCTGGTGAAGCGCTGGAGCTCGTGGATCACATTACTTTGCAGAGCGCGGATCCCAACGAACCCCTGGGGCTGGCGGCTGTGCACAGCCCCTGGTGCAGCATGAAGCAAGACTATGCGATTTTGGTCTGGTAGGAAGGCCAGCTCGCTGTTTGTGCTGTTGCTCTGGAGGTGACGTCGAAGTCCAATTGTCCGCACATCAGGGAACTCTGGAGGTTGATGTCGTTGCTTGACTGCCAGCGGTGTGCTTGTTGAATCTTGGCGTGAGATGGATGGTGGCTTTGGGCAGCCCAGGCTAGGCTGGTGGGCCCCAGCGCTTTCCTGGCAGATGCCAAGGGCGGAGCCTCCGAAGCTACAAGCATGGATGAGGATCCGACCTCAACACGAGAGGTAAGACAGATTATCAGAGGGCAGATCTCTCTGAGCCACATGCGCAGGACGTTTGGGCTGCCACCGGCATGCGGATGAACATCACCCCTTTCAGCTGCTCAGATTTTTTCTGGTAGGAAGCTGTGAGTTTTGCAAGCATGCTGTGCAAAAAAGCATCAAACCGAGGCAATCCAGCCTCAGAAGACGAAGCTCGAGTTCCTTTCGTCGATCCATCTCGGCCGACGGACCCGATGAATCGCACTTTCTGGGATCCGCAAGGCCTTTTCCGCACATGGAGTTTGCATTTTCCGATTTGTGCGTGTGCGCGTTTGCAAACAAAATGATGCCTTTGACCTGGGTGGGAAGATCAGCCAGAAATTGCTCAATCGTCTTTATGAAAAGAAATACTAGTCCCACGGGGCAAATCTTGATTGATTTTGCAACATTGAGGCACAAGAGCACGTGTTCCAAAGTTTGGTTACCTTCTGGTTGCCCTCAATATTTACAAAGAAGCCCCTCGTGCGGTAGCTTTTGAAAGCCCGCCTGTATTTGCTCAGCTAGGAATAGCAGGCTTGCTCTTAGATGCACGCCCCTTTTTCCTTGTTGGGACAAAACTCGGCCGCCGAAAAGATGCCATAAAAAAGCCAGGGCACGTGTTGCTTATTTGGACCTGCTCCGAGCCATCCCACGTCGTCCGTGGGTACTTGAGCGAAATTTCAATAGCGCAGCCACTTCCAAGCAACAGCATGTTTGCGGATCATTTTGCAGTTAAGCCAAGATCCCGCAGCTGCGGCGGTGCGGGAGGGAAAAAAGATGGGATCTTTCTGCAAAACGTCACTGCACAGGCCCCAGCCGCCCGGACCGGGTGCTTTGGACGGGACGAAGCCTCCTGCTGCGAGGTGCGGTGCAGGGGGGATGAGTACAGTTTTCTGCACCTCACAACTCGATTTTTTAGACTTACGAGGATCGGCCTCTCAGATGAAGCAGACCTTGCGACAACTGCAGTACAAGCCTGATGAGACTGCGGCTGGATGGGACACGGTGTTGATCAGAATGGGCATGCAGAGGGGCGAGATCCCAGTGTACGTCCTCCGCCAAGTTGGTGACATCGTGCTCAAAGCGCCGCCGCTGAAGATGCTGACGGTGGGTCAGGTATTGCGGCTAAATGTGACAGCCGAGCTGAACCATCTCGTTCAGCACCAAGATGTATTCAGTGCGAAACTTGCCGCAAGTAGTGTTTGCCTCTCCTGTTGAAAATGCTGGGCTTGCGCAGAAGCAGGCAGCAGGAGTCCGATTCGGAACATGCTTCCTGAGGATGGTCACCTGCAGTCATGGTGGTTTCGCTCTGTGGTCATTTGCCGGACGCATGGAGGTCGGACGCTTTCGCATGACAGTCGCAGTTTCTCGTGACCTTGAACCCTACAGGTTTTGGGATCTTCATTGGAATTCTCTGGCAACACATCTGAGCTTCAGGCGGCTGGCCAGCATTTCGTGTTAGCCGTTTTTTGTTTGGAATCCATTGTCCCATCAGCTTGTCAGCAGAACTGTCTCAGGAGTTTTTGGCAGATGTGACTTATGTGCACGCGGACGGGTTCACTGGAATGGATCGATTGCAAGTCTTCGTGCAAGGCAGCCCAATACAGGCGGCAAAGAGGCAAGCACCATCTGCAGAACTGAGCATCGCGGTAATGGTGCAGCTCACCGAGACGATAATTCCTCCGGCAACGGTAGAGATGCCAGGAAGGTTGAATGTCTTTGAAGATTCTGTACGGTCCCGAGTTGACCCAAGTGCTATTGCGGACTTTCGTACATCTGCTGAAAGAGGACCTCGGTACTTCACGTATTTCAAAGCCCCACACTAAGGTCACCAAGCCGCACATCAAGGTTCGCGACTTGCGACCTGTGGCTCCTTCCGGAGTTGCCTTGGCATCTGCCTTGACGGCGGGGGCTGGCACTGGCAGGACGTGCCTTCGAGCTCCGGAGCCTGATACGTGGATCACACAGACTTTGTCCTCAGAGCCATGTGACCTGTTTCTGGTGGTTGGATCGAACGGCACGAGCGTGGACCAGCTTAATTGCATGGGTTGCACCTTGCGAGCTGCACACCTGCCGGATGAATGTCTGACCTGGGCAGCTGAGCTAAACAACTATGAAAAACCATCAGCAGAAATCTGCTTGCAGTAGTGCCTGCCTCTGCCTTTACTCGTTTCTGCTGAGATCACTGGACCTGTTGCTGAAGTAGCTGGACTTGCCGGCGGCTGGGCGCTGGCAGCTTGTCAAAACAGCTCTGTCCCGGAATTTGAGAGCCAAGCCTTTGGCTTCAGCAACTTGTCCGCCAAGAGACTCGTCAGATCCTTGCGCAGTGTGTGGCATTGGGAACTGAAGGCAGCCAAGGGAGAAAGGTGACTAGTGCAGAGTGGGGCAGGATTTAGTAAGCAATAGGCAAGATGCAATACCTGTGAGACGAAGTATTCTTTGTGCGTGTGCTGCTTGTTGCAGGAAAGGCTTGTCTGCTGTCCTAGCTTCGCCCGGGTTGCATACTGCGTTGTCCGTCGGAGACGATGACTGCTTGAGCTGTTCGTGCAAGGTGCTCTGGATGAGACTGGTGGAGGCCGATTTTGCGTTCAGGCTTTGAGCGGTGACTCGACTGAAAAGGCAAGTATTTTTTTTGTGGGAGGCATATCATGCACCGATCCACAGCAAACATGCCAAGGGTTGGAGGGCTGCTTCGATATTCTCACGATGACAGTCAATTCGCAAACTTATCGTGGCCTCCCAACCGTGACAACTTTGGTGGAAGGCAACCTGTTGTGTGTTCAGCTGGTTCACCTGGGAGTAGGACTTTAAAAGGAGATTGCTTGTTGAAGGTGTGCTGCCTCCTGATTGCACCGCATCATGGGACGTGATGAACCTGAGCCTTTCTGACATCTTTGGTGAGAACATCAGCGAAGAGGAGGCAAACGCAAGCTTGCCGCTGGCCAGGGACAGGTGCGAAGGTCCGGTGCTTGGCAAAACATACAGCATGTGCTTGTCGCAGCATGATCAGCCTCCGCTCTTTTGTTGCAGAGGAGTTCTCAGTTTTTCCCACCAAGTCACCAAGTCACATGTCCCGCAGCCCTAGCAGTCTCTCAAGCCGCACGGGGCGAGCGGCATAGATGCAGATTGTTTGATGGATTTCTACACCCTGCAATGAGTGCAGCGGTTTACATATGTCTCCTCCAGCCACTGCTCCACACGTCGAGAGGTTGGGAAAGCTCGGCTGTGAGCTCGGATTCTGCAACCGTCGTTGTGAACTCCTTGGCGGAGGTGGAGCTGCAGGAGGCAGGAAGGCTGGATTCCCGATTTGACACGCTAGAAGCTGTCAGCTCAAAAGATTGTGCAAAATGTGGCAGAATGATTCTCCGACACATGGGTGATGAGCATTGGGCGCTTGTGATGAAGCTGAGCAAGAATGATTTTTGCTATGGGTCCACGAGATGGAATGACGGCAAGGCACACAATCCAGACAAAATGGTGGATACAACCTTCCCCAACATTCGTCATTATGATGCCAAGCATATAGCGTTTCACAAGTTGAAGCATGTGGATGCCATTAAGCTTCAGACCAACCGGAACAGGGGATTTCCGGAGGCTCCGGTCATTGAGTTTGCCGGGAAGGGCACGCCCGAAACCCTCATGACCAAGAACAGCGTCAAGCTGAAAAAGTACCCTGATTGGGGAATTTGGCGGCATAGTTTCGGCAGTGATCGGAATCGCGCTCCAGCATTTTTCCGCGCGGGGCGGATTGTTACTGACCCAAAACCAGTTTGCCGGAATAGCGGCTTTCACATCAGTGGCTGCGGCAAACCGTGCATGTTTTGCATGATGGCTGGTGATGGGTGGGGTTGTCCGACGAGTGCCCGCCACAATGATATTAGCTCGGGCATTGGTCTAAATGCTGCGTATTGTGGTGGAGGAGGCGGGGACGACTGTAGCTCATCTGGGCATTGGTCTGGAGACAATCGTGTTCTTGTTTGGGCACGCTACTCTGCATACCAGACTACAACCACCAGCACGACTACAGCTGCATGCAAGGACGGCGACTGCTGTGGCCGCTTTGGAGGTCAAGGCCTCTGGCGATGCGATGGCCTAGATGAAAAAACGTGCAATGACACGTACGTGGAGGTTGTCCCGAACGAGCATGTGCAGTGCGGCACGGTAGATGGTGTTTGCTTGGCTGCTGGGAGCAGTTGTGAGAATCGAGCAGAGACCACAATCACCGAGACTGTTTACATGCATCACGACCTTGCGGAGGTCAGCTTCAGTGGGGGGCACGCTTCCCTTTGGGGCAATCCTCCCGAGAACGTGCGGTCTGGCAACCCGCGAGAGAAAACGTGGGCTGTTTGGGCAGAAATTCCCGAGATGCCAGCAGGAGGAAGCATCACGTTGGTGTACCAGTACAACACGGGTTATGGTTGCACAGGCAGGCAAGGAGGTTCAACTTTCGATGTGTTCGTTGGGCGCACCAAGATTACAGACCAGCCGCAGGGTCCCTTCATTGATTATCCTTACGACCATTGCGGTGGCTCAGGCTGCCCGACGTGTTACTCGCCTCCACAATCCCTGGTGTTGCCAGTGGCACCAGGGACTGCGGGCGAGCTGACCACAGAGTTTGTGAACAATTTGCGCAACATGCACCTGAAGGTGGAAGAGATCAGAATCACAACCCCCATCTTGTGAATGCCTTCAGTGGGCCAGTAGACTGCGCTGAACAGAGCACTTGCGCGGTAAATAGCGAAAAGAAGCGATGATGTACCAATGTTTGGATGATAAACGCTTCTCAGAAGTTCACACGCTATTCAGTCACTGCACGTGTGAGTCCGAGGTGCGTTAAGCTGTGAGTTCCTCTTCCAGCCGGATGTGCTACTCGATCCAGCCCCCGGTTGTAACAAGGAGGTGATCGTCAACTATACTTGCCCAAATCACATGTCGCAGCCTAGCAGCAATTTTGGAGTTAACATTTTGCATCGGGGATCGCCAGAGGAAGTGGCAGATGCATGCAGTCAAGGTACGAGACCAGATCCTTGGCCGCGGCATGGCGACAGTTTGTGTTCTGGCTTGCCGTGTGGGCATGCAACGGGCGACAGCAAGTGTTGGCCTGTCCGCCATACAGGGTCCAGGGTTTGAAATCATGCCGAGAGTCTGCATTGTTGGCGTGACGGGAAAAGCCCGTTCCATGTTTAGGAGGATAGTCACGTGCTGGGTGAGAAAACTTGACATGTGTGTTGTCACATCAAAGGCTAGGCCGGTGAGGAGTCTGCAGACCAGGGTCAGAATTCATGGTATCAGAACACCTTCCGTTGTGGCAGTGTCAGCATCCATCATAGCCTACCTAGTCGTGCCAGTTGAGGAACCCGGCTGACTCCCAACCAAACAACACCTGCATCCATGATCATCCAGTGTCCGGTGGTCTTCCTGCCCTCGCCAGAAACTTGATTGCAATGCATCATGCTACAGTGCACCGTCAGGCTTTCTACGCGGGAGCTTGTCTTGCTGGCTCATCATGCAGCACTCATTACGGAGGACCCTGTGGCACTACGGGGCTCCTTGCAGACCGGAACTTTCTCCCTTACGTGGCTTGGACATGGCTTTGATACAGAGTATTGCTAATAGGTGCAGTTCTGAGTGCCTCAGTCAGTCACATGCAAAGTGTTCTCGGAGGGGTGTGAGCACAATGTGGCGCCTGCGGCAGCTAACGGCATGCCCGGATCAGCATGAGCCCTCGCGGACGGCCCTGCAGCTCTTGCGCAACATGTCCAAGCCCTCTGCAGGCAGGTGATGTTTCCTTGAAAGGCGCTCGCTTGGATCGGTCTGTTGCCTCTGAAGGTGCTGTTACTGTGGGGCTTCTGCCCAAGATTATCCTCTCCTTCAACCGCAACGTGTTCCTTGGACGTGGGAAGGCCCAAGAACCTTGTGCAGTCTGCAGTATGTCGCTGGAGAAACATTTTTTACTTAGAATAGCACTACACTGCCTGTGCCAGGCGCTGGTGCGGGAGGTGAAAACACTTGCAGTGGGAGCATATGATGATCCAGACCGTCCACGCGAATTTCTCATGTCTCTTATGACTAGCAACAACACGGCAAGCTATCAGATCACGACTGAGTTGCTGCCACTGACAATCTATGAGCCTAGCCAGCACTTCACAGCGGGCTCTGCTCATGTAGGGGCCCTTAAGAGACACCGGGCTGACTGTGGAGGCGGCCTGGGATTTAAGTAGGTATGAGCTCTGTAGGTAGGCATTGTATGACTTCTATAAGTGGCGCGTGTTTCCTTCAAGCTTCCTTATGCAGTGCTCTCGCAGAATGTTTTAGTGAAGGCTGGCGTCTTCTCCTTCAGCTGCCATTCAGAATCCACCTTCCGGTGCTTTGTTTCAGGAAGTGATTCTGGAGCCTGGTGCTGTGGAAGACATTGACGGCTTCGCCTTTGCAGGCGACGTGTGACAGCAATTTCATGGCTACGCCTTCCCCTAAAAATGAACCCCCCCGCCCTCCTAAGCATAGATACTTCCCCCAATGTATGTAATGGGGATGAAGTCAATGGGTTGCAGGCATTTCCAGCGATTCCTACACCTTCACCACTGGCCTGGGTCCGCTGCAGCCTGCTGGCTGGCGTATCGTGGCAGAAGCAGGAAATCCTCCTGGACCACACACTTCACTGAGCCTTGGTCTTCTAAAAAGCCATGTAAACTAAAAGAAGAGGTCGGTTGAAACCGCGGGTGCAAAGGACCGGTGTGGCGGGATGGCGAGTGGCTGAGCTTGAAATTTTTGCGGAGCGCCAGTGCCGTGGGCCTCGACTGCGGGGGACACCAGCTTCCAGCTTGTCCGATGCATTCAATGCTTCGAGGAGCCTAGATGTTCCAAGCTACTCTTGCTTTGTCTTTCGTTGCATGGCTTCTGTGAAGAGACCTCGTGGAGCAGGCTGGCCACCCATGATTCAGATCCTGTGAATGCGACGGATATCTGGCCAATGGGAGTGCCAGATGGTGCAGCGCATCTGGCATTTGACGAGGCGATGCTAAGTCCATCACAGTTGTAGTTGATGCTTCGTTGCTGACGCCGCATCGCACAATGCGCCAGGACAGCGACACGATGTGGGTCAATGTTGCTGACTACGTGAATACCGCTTCTGGCCAGGTAAGGGTAAGCCGCGAAGCCTCTTGGTTGCGCTTGTCGCGTGGGCTTCACTGTAGTGGATTCTTGGAGGGCGTCTTGATTTAATCGAGCTTTGTGAGCGGCTGCCTTTAAACTGCTAGCGTTGATGCAGAGTGTGATCAGCAGCGATGAGTATGTATGTTGTCGGAGTCCTTGGCAACCAGGCCTGGCTTGGCCTCTATGTTGAATCCGCGGGCACTTTCGAAACTCTGCTGGGTCCTATCGCATCTCCGGTGTCGACCACACGTTGCTAGCAAAAAAGCACAGTTACTGTATCGCTTCAACTTGCATAATAGGCTCCTGCTGCTAAACTTCCTGCGACTGTTTACTGAGGCTATTCTTTGCGCATTGTGTCGGCTCTGGATTCGGAGGACCCACCTGCTGTCTCGGTTCAGTTCTTCATCAAAGGTCTGGGAGGCTCCGGTACCAAGCGAACCTCATTCTGCCTAAATTCTGCCAGCACATGCTCAAGACAAGGTCCCACTGTCTGTCCAAGTGTCGGGTTGGCAAGGGAGGAAAAACGTCCAGGAATGAAAGGAGCATCATTTGTTGGGATGAGAGGCATGGGCTCAAGTACGTATTATGATGACATCAGGGGTCAAACAGAGGAAGGCAGACGGAGCTCGTGGGCGAGTGGAATGAAGGGCCCAAAAACAGCATTGACAAGTTTGTGATACTTATTAATCACTCGTGGAGGATGAGCATGCACTGCCATGGCTTCTTCAACTTGAAGCAGACCTGCCTCCCATGCAGGCACTTCGGAGAAGTGGTTTGTCTTGCAGACGTTACCGACCACGCTCGACTGCATCGACTTGCCTTATGATCTTGATGCTGCAATGGTTCGCCCAAAAGACACGTCGCTTCTTCGCAAGAATCGGGATCTTTTCTACATTGCAACCTTGCTTGGTGCAGCAGGCATTTGCCTGCGATCAACCGCGTTGTGGAGCCCACTGGAACGATGCCCATTCTTGCCATAGACTTGAATGAAATCGTCCAGATTGGTGAGGGCGAGATTCGGTTTAGGCTTGCCTCTGGCTGCGCAGCCGGCAGCTCAGTTTGGAGGACTTCCGAATCCAAGTTAGATGGCCTGCAAGACTGACACATGCAGTGTCTACTGAGGATGATGGATGTTGGAAGCGCTTTTTCGTGCAGTCTCGTCAGCAGTGGGCCTGTATGAACACCACTGACACTTTGAACAGCACCGCTGATGCCACCAGCGACCGCGACTACTGCATCCACATCGAAGCATCGATAAGGAGCGTGTTCATAGATTTCAGAGGTCATATTCTGCCAAACACCAACTACAGTGGCTCAGCGGCACGCATATTGCGTTTGTTTTACTTCCAAGGCCCCCAAAGCCACCCCAGTCCCAGTGTGAACGTGTTTAGAGAGGGGGTGTCTTTGTGAGCGGGGTGTCTTCCTACTCTGAAGATTGGAAGACAGAGAGCTAGAAAAACTCGAAGCGCATGTGTAGTCATCGGGGCCAGCCACAGTTGTCGAGCTCAAGAGCTTGAGGCAAGCCCCCGACCCTTCCCTCCGGGGGAGGGTATAGCAGTGAGAAGAAGAAAAAACCCACAGCGCAGAGAATCCGCCCTTGAGGTGTGGAAGTGACACCAGGCGTTATCCGAGATCTTTCGGAAAACTTATTCCGGGGCCTGATGTTGTCAGAGATGCGCACTTTCCAAACGTGGTTGCCTCAAGATGACCACCTCGCACCTGTCCTTCTGGAGATAGTGCTGGCCTTACGCTTCAAAGTCTGTCTGTCTTCCAGCAAAGCCACCGGTGTCTTTTTCTCAGGTCTGCATCCTGTAGTTTTTCTTATGCTTGCATAGTGTGCCGAGGGCGTGCCCAACAACGAGTCCGTATTTTTCCGCCTCAGTGAAGACATTGTTGCAGGAAATGGTTCCCTGAGAGCCGCTGGACATGCAGATCTGGTGCAGCCAGCAGGACTACGTTAGTCTTCTTGGTTTACCGCATTTGACCTCATCTGAGGTGGTGCCCGAAGATGGGCCTGCCGTCTCGTACGATGTTTTGGGGCCGGAGATCTTCGTGGATGGAAACTTTCTGATCTTGCGCCCAGCAGCCACTTGGCCGTAATGCAAATTGTGATCCAGAAAATGCTCGGAGCGACTGAAGGAAGCATTGAGAAGCAGTCTCTGGTCCTAAGGATTCACTGCCATCGGGAAAAGTCGTGATCTCAATGCCGGCAGGAGCTCTTTCTGACTTGGCTGGGAACACGTTTCCTGGAGTTCAGCACTTCGAATATACGACGCGAGGCGAGAGGCAACCATGTTCTGCTTTCTGGCGTTTTTTCTGTAATTAGGTCACTTGGCAAAGGTTGTGGAGGTGGGTCAATATGTATTCAACGAAGGATTGGACCGCCAGAGCCTATGGATGTTTCGAATGTCACCATTCAGGGCAGCCCATCCTTTGCTCGGCTGGTGAACGGAGATGCGGTGTCACAATTCTGTGTGATGGGTGCGCCTGTGGCTTTGGCCGACTTTGCAGAGGGTCTGCGTTACTCGTCCGGTATCCACTGGTTTGGCAATGAGCCGATGCGCATCACCATTGCTGCGGCGTATGATTCCCAAGTCATCCATGCAGCGGCCGAAAGCTGGATCTTAGTTCAATCATCCAATGACCACCCAGTCATCACCGCCGACGAGGTGTCCTTCCAAGTGCCCTACTCGCACTTGGGTGGTGACTTCCTGGAAAAAAACCAAACCAGTTGGACACTAAGGTGCAAGTCGGGAGGAGTGTTGCAATCACAGGAATCAATATTATGGATCCTGATGCTGGCGACCAAACGCGCTGGATGACCTTACTCGTGGCCGCTTCTACCGGGCGTGGCCTGACAAAGTAGCAGTTGATACATGGCATCAAGATAGGCCACGCACCACATAACCGTTAGCAAATATACAAGAAGCTCCATTCCCAGGTCTATACCTGGATCCGTCTTTTGTCCTGGCGCCCAATGGGACTTTGGAGCCACTGAAGGCACAGCCATGCCTGCTTGAAGCTTCTAGCAGATTCCATTGCTGTGCTGGCCAGGGCCGTTTGGATGGCGACTTCGCCCTCCGCGTGCAGGGCAGCGGCCCTGACCTGCAAGCCTTTGTCGATGCGCTGCGCCTGAAGCCCAGAGACCACGGCATCCTGTGGCATTTTGCAGAACACGCTTCCGCAAGGTTTCAGCACAGAGGCCCCGGCGAAACCGTCATTAGAACCGCTCCCTCTTGACCAACCACGGACGGAGGCAGCCGATCTCATGATTTGTTTTGGCATGTCTAGGTTTGACGTGAAAGTTGTCCGCATTTGATGCGCATAAGGGGGCGAGCACATGCAAAGGGACAGCAGCGAGGCCATTGTCTCATACATCTTGTCCGACACTATCGGACCTCAAGCTGGCGCCCTGCGGCGGCACCAAGTGGCAGGAAAGGTCGTCAACCCGGAGACCTCAGCTCCCGTGGCTGACGTGGACGTCGTTCTCATTGCTGCTCGCTCAAAAAGGTCCACAGGACCCCTTTAGGGGTTGATGATTTTGATGTCACTGTGCCTTGATGCCACTCAGGCAAACGATACATGGCATGACTATGAAGGCTACGACGTGCTTCCGGGCTGCGATGTCGAGCTTACTGGCCTCAGTGCCTCAGCGTGAGTACAGCTAACACAGCGAACACACGATTCAGCACGCATGCGGACGGGGTCCTGCATCGGCTGTACCAGGTGTAGAAGATTGCAAGCTCCATGCCGTCGCCAATAACTACATTGCCTTCACCTACGGCCTGTATCATGCGGGTGGTTCACAGGCAGATGCCTTCGTTGTGTGCAGGATTTGTCTGCTCCTTGAGCGTAGAATTCAGAAGTGTTCAATGTTGCCAGGCTTGCTGCTTCAAGACGGCCGATGCGGAGACGATTTTGACAAATTTTGTCGTTGACACAAAAGCTTGAAACTTAGTCTTGGCAGCGGCCGGGTAGTCCTTAAACCTTAGCAGCTAGCAAATCAGCCTCCTGCTTTCTGACTGCATGGCCAAGGTCAATGTGCATATCTTCCAGCCTGGGGGCTACTCCGTGCACACCAAGACAACAGAACTTGGAGTTTACGCGGCAATCATGCCGACCGCGCCCATTAACATCTACTTTGCCAAGACTCTTCATGCAACGAGATCTTTGAGTGTTGATGTGAAGGACAACATCCAAGTCGGTGGCCGGCCCAGAATTCGCACGCAGAAGCTGCGTTTGCTTGCCAATGCTTGCATCAAGGTGGCCTGGCAGATATTTATCTTCAGGCGCTTGCTGTGGTAACGATCTGGCGTTTCGAAGTGGACTGGACGTCCACAATGCCGGTGGATCTTGATGCCCATGCCTTCGACGCTTGGGACTGTCATGTCTACTTCGCAAACAAGCAATGCCAACACGCAGCTGGGCAGAAAGCATCTACCATGGTGTTGATGACCAGATTGGTGTAGGATGGTATCTTGCTACCAAACGTGCTACCAAGGATGGCAGCCACGGCCTCACTGTCACGCTGAACCGAGATAATCGGGATGTCTTGCACGGTAGAGAGGTGCGTGTGGCTGAAGCTGAATGCAGCATGCGCCCATGGGCCTTTTGCGGCGATAGGTGATCACTGTCCACCAGTGGCCATGCGACTCGGACCAAGCCACCATTGGAGGCCAGCTAAACCAGCTCCATGCCCCCCCTCCGTGTTGGTCATATTCCCAGACCTGGCATGCTTTGATTCAGGCTACAGGGACATCTGGAGCTGCCTGGCCCATTTCTGGGTCCAGATCTTCTCAAACCATGGCTTTGCAGACGTCCAGGGAACCGTGAGCATCTTCCGGGGCGGAGTCCTGGTCCATGAGCTTCAATTACCTGCAGCCGAACAGCCTGACAGCTTTTGGATCGGCTTTGTGTTGGAGACTCTGAGAATTTTGCGGCTGATTTGTTACTATGGTTTTCTTGTGTCTCAGCTGCTTTCACATTTCTTGAGATGTGGCGGCCAAGGACTGGGGCAGCAGCACCATCCAATCCTTCTATAACCAGGCAGGAGGCACGGAAATTGTGGAGCGCTTCATCGGCAACATTTACCAACTGCCTCCGGCACGTGAAGTGCGACGTCTGGGCATGCTGCAGAATGCCTCTGCAGTGACTCGGCCGAGCACAGTAGCAGTTGAGGTTGCCCGAATACTTGGTTTCCGATCCCATGTCTCCGATCTGAGGAAAGGCAAGGGTCGCTCTGGCGCGAACGGCTGCGACAGGACCTCCGGGAACACGTGCTGCTGGGATGTCTTGCGTTCGACTTTTTACAAGACCTGCCGTGAGGATCTGCTTGCAGAGAAGGAATCTGATGCAGACTCCAAAGCCCAGAAGCCGCCTTTGCATTTCCGAAGTGAAGAGAGGACGGCTAAGTAGCATGCCGCTGCTGTTTCTGGGGGGGCCTTGTGACCGGGGTGCGTATTGCTCAGTGCCAGGAGGTTGTCAAGTTGCTTGTTTGCAAGACGTTGCGTGGGGCATGCGTGCTTGATGCAGTTCTGGGATCTGCAAGGCGACGCAGCTCAACCTGCAGAGGGGGCTGAGGTGGAGCACCGCAGCCGCAGCTGAAGTTTGCCAGTTCCTTGAGACTGTCAGTTGCATTGCATGCCCAGTTCTTCCACTGTTCTGAGGCAGGACGATAAGGCCTTCTGATCCTGGCAGCCTGAAGTCAAGCAGACAGTTATCCCCAAAATGTATCTACCCCTGCCCATGTGGCTTGGTAGGCAGATGCTCCAGCTCGTGAACTGGCCATCATGGGCGATTGCGGGGACGGACTGGTCACAAGTGACGAGGACTGGCAGGGGGTCGAGACGCAGAAGTGATGGAGTTGGCAGCACCTCAACATGGTATTGTCACCCGTAGCCCAGCTGTCTGCAACATGGTCTTTGTTATGACGAGTTGGCCCCTTTCAGCAGCTAGTTGAACAGTTGTGGACCTTAGCAGAGTTTGAAACACGTGCATGCTGCCCAGGAGTGCGACGATGGCAACAGCAATGATACAGATGGATGCTCCAACTGTACTGTGGACGAGGGCTACTTCTGCAGGGGTCAGCCATCAGATTGCAACCTGCACAATTGCTCGGACGGCTTTATCACACGTGACGAGGACAGCTGCCTAGCACAAGGTGTTGCGGCCCATAGTCATACACCGATCATCGCTATCTTCTGAGCTTGAAGGCCTGCGATGATGGCAACATAGATGATTTTGATGGTTGCAGCGCTGAATGCAAAATTGAAATTGGCTATTACTGTTCTGGCGAGCCGTCTTCGTGCACCACGAGATGCCGCCTGACTTTGTTACTTCCTGATGCTTAAGTGAAAACTGTGACCCAATGGAAAACCCAAGTGGATTATCCAAGGTGGAGATGGCAGGCGAATTATCCCGCCAGAGCAGTGCGATGATGCCAACGCGGTATCTGGTGACGGTGGCTCTGCTGGATCTTCTTTGTGCATCCTAGTGTTCCGGATCAAGTCAAATCCGGCACGACTTGCTTGTCAATCTTTACTCAAGGTCCTGCTGCTTAGCAGTCTTTGTCGCTTCTAGCTCGTGTCGACTTGGTGCAGCCACGGCTCATGCCCAAAAGTCGGTCATACTGAAGACGGACTCCCCTTGTCTCAAGCATCCCACCGAAACGTGCTGGATTGCTCCTCATTCTGATAATCTTTTTCTTAGATGTCTCAGGGGATGTGCGATGGATGGCGCTGCTAGGAGGGTTCAGGCCCTCCCAGAACCACAACTACCCTGAACTACCATGGCTTGGTGCTCCTAATCATGTTTGGTGAGAGCCTGAGAGCCACCCAAAGCAGCTGAGGTTGCAGTGCTACTTGTGAGATCGAGGCAGGTTTCGTCTGCGATGGAGGGACTGAGATGGTGCGGGACCATTGCTATCCAAAATGCGGTGATGGCGTCCGTGTTCCATTCGAAGGCTGCGATGATGGAAACACACAGGACCTTAGTTGCGCATTGCGCTTGGATCTTGCGGTCGCTCCTGTTTCCTGCATGGACCTCACTTTCACTTGGAGCAGGACGGAGATGGATGCTCGTCAGCATGTCGCATAGAGCTGGGCTATGCATGCCATGGAGGGAACACAACAAGCGCAGACATCTGCCGACTCACAGTCTGTGGCGACGGAGTGGTCGAGGCCGGCTGCTTCATGAGTTTCCGTCATGCGGTAAACGGCACAGGTGAGCATTAGGGGAGCACAGATGGGATTCCTCATCCTCGTTTTCCGAACCTTCGGGTCTCCCTTGTTTGAGCAAGACTAATGATGACCAACGTGCAGCAGGGATGTCGCACCCCCACAACTTCCGAAAAATGAATGATGCTGTGACGGAGCGCAAGAGTCTAGAGAGCTGTGTTCTGCAAGAAACTTTGTACCGCCAGCCCCCATGTTCAGGGAGCAGAGGAGTGCGATGACTTCAATGACTACGGCGGGGATGGCTGCTCCGCTGTGTGTCTCTGGGAGATCAAGGAAGTAGCCTCCTGGTCACAGACGGACGTCATGGTCACAATCCGGCCTCTGGGCCAGATTTGCAGGAGCTCGGAATGTGCAAATCTATGCTCCAAGCATTTGCAGAGGTCCAACGCTTGACCATCCTAAGCCCTTTTTGCAGGATCTACAACGCGCGGCAGCACCAGACCTTTGAAGACACCACTTACCACCTCCAGAACACGATCCTCACAGGTGATGTTTCAGAGCCCGATTCCGTGCGCGTGCATGTGGAAGTCTTGAATGGCTCCATTGCTATTCAACCGTTGGTGGACCTGTATCTTGCACAGGGGCTCCTCGCGTGAAAATCCTTGCAGATGACAATCGCGGCTGTTTTTTGTGAGTCCAAAGTAGGTGACTGCATGCGTCTCCTAGGCGAAACGATTCCGTTTGGGAAGCCATTGTTCAACGAGAGACAGGTGTTCGCTTCTATCCGTACGCTGACAACATGAAGGCCTGGGAGAGGGAGTGCTGGCATTCATGTATGTAGGTCCATGAACATCTTAGGACACCATCATCTCGGGCAACTATTTTGAGATGGACCGCTTCCTGCGCCATTACTTGTACATTGTCCCTTGGCAGACCGAGCCAAATTCCCTACATTGCTAGACCAAAACAGAAGCCAATCCACAACAAGTCTTGGAGTGCTTCGTAAATAGTTGCATACGGGAGACCTCAGGCTCCAGATCCCGACTTCTCGGGATATGTGCAGGTTCTGTTTACAGACGCTCGGGCATGAAGATTTCTTGTTTTTCAGCGCCTGGTGGTGTCCAGGTCTCTTGTCATGAAGTCATGCCATCTTGAGGTCACATCTGGAATGGTTTTGAACCATGGGGCAGAGGACACAGACAGCAGATGGATGACATTGCTGCTCTGCGCAGTCGCAGCTGTGACCCTTTGCAGGAGTGCAAGTACAGCGTGGTGATTCAAGTAGCTCCTTGGTAGAGTCTCTTCCGAGTGCCTCAGAAGAAGTCATGGAGTTGGCTTCATGAAAGGTTGCCGTCTACGATGATCCTGCTTCCGTGATCGTCCCACAGGATATCCAGACCAATGGCTTTCCTTGCCTTGCTGGTTCACCATCATGCTCTCTTGGGGGTATATCCCTCTATGATCCTGACTGTGAGATGGCCGTTGATGGCTCCTGCTACCTGATCTTTGCCTGCACTGGCATCTTCCCGAGACCGTCACAGATAATCTTACTATCCTTACCCCCAAACTTGGCAGCTGGGATTGAGGAAGTTGGAGCTCAATGTCACTGCCGGCCAATTGTCGGTTCCTGGGCATCCCAGTGGCTGGCAGGAGCCGTGTAGAGGGGGATGGTAGCGGCGCGTGGGGCAAAGGACAAACGGATAGCAGTTGCTGAAGAGCAGCAGAGCAGTTGGAAATGAGAAGCGTTGCCCTGAGCACTCGCATCTTTGCCATTACCCTCAGGAGGTTTTTCCTAGCATGATGGGTCATGCGGCCGGTCTCAATGCTGCCTTGGACCGGCAGCTGGCCTGCGTTTTGCACCAGATGGAGCCATCCGGACCGAGGGGCGCATGACTTTCGTTTCTGAGGTTGGTATTCTTCCCTCCGTCGCTTCCACCTGCGCAGGCTTCAGTTCAGGGTCTTGCAAACAGTGTTGATATGCAGCGGAGCCAGGACGAGTGATGCATGATTCTGTGTTCGTTGCAGGACACCATCCTGCATGTGAAGGTTGATCGGGTCATAGAGCGTGACCTTGCGTGTTGTCATATCATGCGAAGTTGCAAGCTATGTGCGCAAGGCTACGCAATGTGGTTAGAGGTGGATGTGCTGTGGGACATGCGGAAAACTTGATACACGAACAGAAGAAGATGAGAGGTACCATTGCCACGCCGCCCAGCCTGACTCCAGCCTCGAACTCCCTCGCCCTCGCAATCAAGATCCAGCCAGCAGACACACCTCCCACGGTGGGCCTGGTAACAGGCTGGACTCAGACTTACTTGGAGCCTGAACTTCATGGCACATTCTATCACCGCTACTGCCAGACTTATGGCCGAGATTGTGTTCTTGCTGTCAGGTGAGCCTTTCCACGGATCGCTGTTCGTTATTGAAGGTGGGAAGCCGTTTCGATTTACCAGTGGCTTGGCTTGATTCGCGCAATGATGCCATCTTGGAAGAAGCTGGCCGAAAGGCAGAAGTGCAAACAAAGCCTTTGTTGTGCTTCTGCCTGCCAAGACATCATGTTCGAGCCGCCGGGTGCCATCTCCACAACTTGTGTTGTCGAACTTCGGGTATCCAGAGGCAAAGCACTGGGCGCCTACTTTTGTCAAACTTGAAAGTCTGACAGTAGGGACATGTGCTGCCAGGCATCTTGTTCCTGGGCGACACCGAGGGCCTTTGGTTTGCTGACGGCACCAACAATGGAGAGTCCCGACTCCGGTTTGTTGGCGCTAGCTCGGATATCCGAAATCGGTTCTTGGCAGACGTGCGCCACCAGTCTGGAATTTGCATGTTTTGTATCCTGGTCATCCTCGATGACATTGCTGGGTGTTGTGACGACAAATCTGACTTGACACCCTTTGGTCTCCTGCGACTCCGACTGCGACGCAATTTGGTTTTGCGTGTGTTGCTGATGAGGCTATGCCTGGGACGATAACGATTGCTCGAATCTAGAGCAGTTCAACATCAGCGTAGACGCGGGATGCACTGAGCATGACTCACGACCGGCAGTGCCTTGTGGCCTCTTTGTTGGCACCACTGTCATGGTTTTTTTTGCTGCCGTGCCTCAGGACAGCGGTGTGCATCAAGCTTTGACGGTGATTGCCATGCTGGTCTTGCCAAGCTGCCAAGGCAGGAAGCTGCGAAATCTGGAAAGTTGATGTGCCAAAGTGTTCGTACCATTCGTGCCGGCAGGTTATCAAGTGGATTGGTTGGGTGGCGCGCTGACGGTCCAAGAAGACTCTGAGGTCTCAATCGGGCATTTGGTAGCGCCTCGCCGGTTTTTGAGTCCTGCGCAGCAGACATGTCTGACCTTTAATGCGACGCAACCTTGCTTCAATGGAGATCAACCGCCAGCTGCACTTTGAGACTGTAGCCTCAGGTCAGTACTAAAGATATGCACTTGTTCCTGGTCGTGGAAGTGAAGCACCCTCCGGGCATACCAGGCTTGAGGGTATGTCAAGATTCTTTCGCACGGCGCACATTCCTTCTTGTCCACCGGCAGGTGACTGCAAGGTTGTTCGTTGGCCAGAGGCAGCCGAAGTCTTAGTTGCCAAGACTGTTCTGCAGAGGTACCACGTGGCGAATCTATGGTTGTGGGTGCATGCTAAGGTTAGCAGTTTCGTGCCTGGACGAGAGTGTCATCTAGATGGGCTCATCACCGACCTGAATGACACTCTGTTGCTTGTTGCATCATGTTGGGGATAAGAATTCTGCTCAGCCTTCTTTGTGTAGTGCCGGATATCTTAACGGATGGCGTGAGGCAGCACCTTGTCTACAAGCCCCCGCCGGACTTCGTGGGGCATGTGCAACTGCAACTCATCATATATCGGGCGGAGGCCAGTGCCTTCTTGCTGTGAACAAGCTTGCATGAGCGAGGGAAGGTATGCTTACCAGACTGATCCTGAGGCTCATTGACTCCAATTCTAAGCGTTAATGGATTTGGGGTGTTGCTTTCCCAACCTTCGAATTGGGCAGCTGATTCTAATTCTCTGCCCCCGCAGGTGCAGGATGAGATCCTGGGAGTGCACAGTTCCCGCGGGTCTCCGATCATAATCCCCGTTGATGTCGAGGCGCGTCCTTTCACGATCTTTCACGGCCAGATGCTGAGATGCTGCCCTCACTTGCCGAGTCTCAGTGACTACAGTCGCAGGTAACGGGGGTGAATGATCCGCCGACGTTGGAAGTCTATTTGGACTCCTACACTTTTGACGAGGACACAGAGGATTACATGCCTCTAAGCCCACTGTTTGTGGGTGACTCTGACGCGGGTTCCGGCCTCAAGCAGCAAACTCGAGTCTCCAGCTTATTCTGCCAGCTGGTCATGGTCTGAGGTCAACACCTTCTCAGCTTCAAGTTTGAGCTGGTCTCTGGGCACGAGTGGAACAGGCTAATGATGTGTGCCCTGGCCACGTGAGTAGCGCAGCATGCCCGGCTGCTACCAAGCCTGCATGCTGAGGCGATCTGGTGGGAGTAGAGATCGAGGAGCCCTGGGAGCATTCACTGGACGAAGCCGGATGCTTCGCGACTGCCACACTTGGTTGACAGCATAAAGTCCAATCGGGCTTTTGCACGGGTGGTTTAAGTGCTGCGAAGTGCAAATTTGGCCTTAGGTTTGGACGCAGGGACCTCCCTCATCCACTTCAATACGACTGTCGAGAATTTCAACAGCAGCAGGGCACAAGAGGGCATGATGCTATCCACTGCACGTTCATCAGGTGCACGAGTGCCGAAGGGCCCTTAGCAGCCTTGATGACCATGACCCCTGGCTGAGGTATGCAAACAGGGCCAGGGCGGTTGCGGTTTAAGCCTGCTCAAGACTGGTGCTGTGGCTGCCATTTGAGCTTTGGTGCTGGTGATTGGCGTTGCTATCTGATTGTTCCTGTTTTTGCTGGGGGACGGAATGCAAGGCATGGCTCTGCGATGATCAACATCACTGTGGATGACAGAGGTGCCTCAGAAAGCTAACTGTACACTAACTTGACAAAAGCCCAGTGGGGGAATTGAAACATGCTCTTACTCTGCCCAGACCACATGGCAAACTGACAGTAGGCAGGCACTGCTCCCCAGCTTGCATGTAGCCGTGTAGCCTTGAGCACGTTATTCTGAACCGCTGCAACCTTGTGGTTGTGCGAAGCTGCGAGCCATATGGTGGGAAGACACCACATTGCGTGGTTCACTTGCCGCGTGCTGTTTGGACGCATGCATGCAGCATGAAGGTTCAATCGTACTTAGTCTTGCCGGTCATTTACCTGTCGCCAGTTGTCAGACGAGAACTTGCTCGAAAGCATGTCGAAAACAGATGTTGTGCTGGCATCTAGCTGACTCAGGAACATGTAATTGTATGTAATTGTTTCATATTTGCTCCCGACTGGTGACGTCTGATTCGCTTCAAGTTGAGGCAGTGGGCATGGAGAATTGCACCGCCTTACGCTGCAACGCTCGCTCTACATTGTGGTGGAGCCTGTGATCGATCGCCCGAAGCTGTCCATCCTTTGTCCAGAGGCTCTGCCATTCTTGAGTTACGGCAGGACGCACTGCACCTAAGCTGCCCATGGTGTTTATCCTCTATGGTCTCCGACTCTCCCTGTTGTCAGAACAGTGTTTCTTTGGCTTTTGCATGCATGTTTTCATTATATGGAAAGTGCAAGATTAGTTTCCTCAAGAGCTTGTGAAGTGGTTCTGCGGGCTTTCTGGAAGCCGGCACGATGAGTAGGACTTGCCTTGAAGTGCGCGAGTGCTTCGCCCTCAATGCAAGTTTGGACACTCATGAGTCTTGGCGTCAATTCTGAAAGTTATGCTCGCCTTTGCAATTTCACAGAAGTCAGAGGTTGACGGCCTGCCGAAGCTTTCAGTGGTGAGGAAATGTCACAAATCCTTTGCACACGCTTGGCAGCGCCCAGGACTCCGGCCTCAGCTTCTGGATGGTCATCGAAGCCAGCGACACTGGTGTCGGGATTTCGCTGGAAGACCGAGCTCCGGTCCAGGTGTTGCTGCGCGGTTTGCGGTGGGTTTTCGTTATGTGGGATTGGGGGCTAAGCTCTCCTGACAAGGTTTGGCGTGAGGGCTCCTCAAGCATCCAAGTCAGTGGCCTTTACCACAACGTCAAGCAGGTGACTTGGCCATTCTCATTTCTCACAGTCGCTGCTTTCCTTGGCTTCTGTCCGTTTGACAACAGGCACTACGTGCTCTCGTTTTCCGGGCGCCAGTCCACCTCTTTGCTGCACCAGATGATCCTGATGTCTTTGAATTCAACGTTTCAATCACAGCCTGGGCGCTTGGTGAGAGGTTCAACGAGCCTCTGCCTTTGGACCCTGGACTGATGCAGACCCGACCTGGCATGTATCGCGGGAAGCCATATCCCAGCGACAGCATCGACTTCCCGATAATCATCCGTCGCATCAACCGGGCACCCATGTTCTTCATGGATATGGACCACTATTCCGTCACCCAACTACAGGACGACGTGAACCTCTATGGTGTAACTGTAGCAGATCCAGATGCGAGGCTGCAGGATGAAGTGGACATCGTTGTTTCTGTGGAACCTGACTCCGGTGGCGGGGCTGTGTCGTTCGCAGGTACTCAAGGCGGTCGGGTTTAAGAGCCTGAGAGTAGTAGGGCAGCGAATAGCGCAGACATGCACTTTGATGTGACCGCTGGGCCCTGCAAGGCACGTTTGTGGAGAAGCGCATGACTTTGGCGGAGCTCAACGTGGCGTTGCAAGACCTTTCCTTCATCTTTCAAGATGCCAACTGGTTTGGTGTGACTGGGGTCTCCATTTCGGTCTCTGACCTCGGAAATAGAGGTTGGAGGGTCAACCACTACAGTGACATGTATCATGAAGACATCTCTCCGCAAGCAGTAGCGCTTAAAGGAGGGACAATGACCATTGTGCCAGATGACCCCCTGGTATATCACAAGCTATTCTCCCAGGATTTTACCTGGGAAGTTTACCTGAAAGTTTTGCCTAACGTTGACAAGATGCAGCCAACGACGCGTGCGACAACTCCTCCCCCTCCACCATTCCAGCCATATGACCTCGAGTCCGCGTACGACGGTCTCTTGTTCAGGAATAACTATCTCGGCCAGAATTTGTCTTCCGGGATCGATGAGCCTTCTTGGGGCGAAGAAAACATGACGGACAAGCCACTCTGTTCTTTTTCCATTGGCAATGACGGCAGGTTAAAGTTCACGCTGCTGTCGGAAGACGGACGACTGCAGGGCAGCGGACAAGCTTTTTTGGAAGAAGGTGCTTGGTATCACGTAGCCCTTGTGGTACGCCGCAGGAGCCGTGACTCGGACGAAGCACCACCAGATTCTGACGCAGACGCAACACAGGGCGAGGTGGCCCTGTACGTGGACAACAAGCTGGATGCTGCGTATCGGTGGCGAGCACCGCAAAGGTATGTTGGACCAGACAAGGGCAGTGTACTTCAGTTGTCGGCACGGGGGGGGCTGGTCCTATCACGAGCAAGGCTGTGGCCGATAGCATTGGAGGCTGGAGACCTTGCTCGCTGTGAGGAGCCATTGGGATCAGTAGCGGGTGGGCCAGAAGGGCTAGGTGATGTTCGGCCCAATGAATCCCATCATCCCTTCCCTCGCCTAGTTGGGATTCAGGCCCCACATGCTCCAGCGCTAAGTTTTAGCTTTGGTGGCTCTCTGGCAGAGACTGCTCTTCGTGGCCATATTGCGTCAACTGGCAGCTGGTCATTTGTTGTTGACTCCCCACCGCAGTGCTTACGCTTGACAGAGGCGCCATACGACAGCTTGTTTGAGTACTGTGTGACATATGACCATAGTTTGGCAGGCGAGGGCGATACTGATCATCAGCCATACTTCTGGCACTCGCTGCAGGCTTACGAAAATTCAATGGACATGCACTCGTACGCGCGAGCAGGATTGCAAGTCATGGAAGCCGGTGAGCTCATGGCGACAACATTTCTCGCGGTACATCGTAGTTTTGTGAACGAACCGCCTCGGATCAGGATGTTGGAGCCAAGGAGTGGTCACCTGCACCTGTTTGAGGATCACGGGAACTTCATTTCATTTGAGGTCAGACACAAGGCTGCCGAAAACTTGGTCGATCGGGCCTTGACCGTATTTTTCTCCACCTCGCATGGAAAAGTTCGCACAATTTCATCGGCGGCGATGCCGAAAACATCTGTGGATGGGAAGCGTGTAGAGTTTACAGCGAAGCTACACGAGCTGAACGCTTTCCTCTCCCAGCTGCAGTATTTGCCCGATCCGAACTACAACGGGCCTGATTTGTTGGACATGCTGGTCACAGACGGCGTTCCCTTGTTCAACCGAATGGCATTTTTGGTTTCGGGTAGTATGGGCCAGACATGGCAATCAGGGATAGTACGCATGTGCACCCTGCAAGGAGTATTCTGTGAACACCAGCGTCCCGATTGAGATTGAGACAATGAGCGACCCGCTCACTATTGTTTGCCCACCTGCAGTAGACCTTTTTGAAGGAGAGATCGAAGTCCCAGTCGGCACAAACATCACCATTCGCATCTCGTCTTGGATCAGGCCCTTTACTTCTAGCTTTACTACGGTGTTTGCTTTGTGATTTGCTTTGCATCTGACATACATAAGGTGATCATGAGCCAATCCCTGGCTTCGATGATGAATCCAGCAGAGTGGAGGTTGAGATTTTTGCAGGTTGCCTGCCTCATGTCTCATGTTGCCTATCACATCCCTTCCCTTCATACAACTTTATGAAAGCCCTGGCTCTATCAGTTTGTTGGGCTGCTAAGGTGATGGTGTCCTCGACTTGCTACCGAGCACGGTCCCTGACTTGGCAGATGACCTCATGGAGGAACTCTACGAAGTCAGCAACAATTCCCGCGATTCTGATCCTTCGAATAGCTCTTCATCAGGCGTGTGCAATGCCGGAAAGATTCTGACCTTGCTGCTAGCTGCTGTTTGTCAGGCAGTTCTGCATTGACCTTCAACACAACGCTTGCGGGCTTTCGTGCAGCCCTCCGAGCTTTGGTCTTCACTCCTCTTCCAGAGCCTCCCCCAGCAAGCTTCCAGAGCAACTCAAGCCAGTGCAGTCCTTGTCTGTGTGATGCCTGTAAGGCATTATACCATGGAGTGGTGCATTTGGAAGTTCGTGTGGTTGCTCTTGAGACCGAAGAGGAGGCAAGGTGCGAGATTGGGCTCATTGTTCACCCAGTGAACTCCGCACCGGCAATTGATGTTGATGGATCTCAGCTGCTCGCTTCTACGAATGGCGGTCTCGTAAAGCCTCACAAAGACATTCGTCTTCATGGGGTCATCCGATTGACGCCTGGCCCGCACTTTGAAAGCTTTTGATGTACCTGCTTGACTAAATCTTTTCTGCGCAGTTGCCTCTGCTGGTGCGAGGTCTGATCCAGACGAGGAGGACTTTTCAGGCGGTTGGTTTTTGGAGCGAGTTCACTCAGCCCGGCTAAAGCTCCGTGCTTCCTGTGGGACGCTTTCCTTCCTCATGGCAGCGCCACAGGATTATGTACTTGGTGTCCGGGCAGCATTTTTTGTGTTGCGATTGCGTGCAAGCAGCGGCAGCTGCCTGAAGTGTTGAGCCCCCAAGGTGTGCAGAATGGCTCCATTGCGGGAACAGAGGGTATTACCTTCCACAGCGGAGATGGTTCTCATGACGCGGCATGGTTCTCAGAAGGATTTTTAAATGGAGACATGGTGGTTTGCTTCCTGGCTTGCTGTTTCCTCAGCCTGGAACCTAGGACATGGATGTGACTTCTACGCTGAGAAACCTTAACCTCCAGCTCAGTCGGCTGTTCTATCATTCTGGTGGAGCTACCCGGATGCAAGAGGATGATTCAGCATGTCCACTTGCTGGCGCCTGTTTTCATTCAAGGATTGCCGTGGGCAAAACATTACCATCTTCGTGGAGCTTGATGACCTCGGTGGCCTGGCTGTATGGTTTACATGGTACAAGCTGCAAGAACCCAGCCTGAAAAACAATAATTGCCTGGCTAATCTACCCAGGCAATTTCGGAGCCTACAAGGATGCGCAGCTGGCCAGCACATTCAAGCTTTGATGTTTCAGACAGCAGAAGGCCTCCCCTTTCACATGCTGAGGATGGGCAACTTGGTGCATCCGCACCCCATCGTGGTCACAAATGAGGCTGCTGGGCACTACCCGAGGCCTTTGTAGCGCCTGTCTTAGGGTTCAAATCCGCCACTCCAAGGGTAGCCTTCACACCCTGCAATACCTGAGCACAGTCATTGGGAAACTGCTTTCAGTGAAACCGGCCTGATATGCATGTGATGTTTGCTCGCATGAGCCACAGGCAAGAGCATTTTCTAGCCCATCATGGGCTACGCGCGTAAGTGTGTGGCAATGGGTAGGTTACGGGCTAGCTCTTGCAATTTGCTTGACTATTCCTGTCTGTACGTCCTCCAGGTTTCACAGTCCGTTGTGGGTTTAGTGCCCAGGGTGTGAGGCGTGTGAGGAGGCTCTAGCGATGCTGGAACTTGAGCATCCCAAAACAAGGTATGTCCAGGGTCGGTGGGAAGTTTGGGCCTTGAGCTCGTCAACTGACGGCCTTCTACTGTACCCTGTGACCCTGTGCTCGATTCTGCATGTTGTTTTTGAGACGGACGCACCGCCTACACACACATGACATGACATGCTGCAAACTCACAAGGTTCATTTCCAAGTGATGGAGTACTGAGTGCGGCCGGTGTTGGTCACCTGCAAACATTTTGTGGTAATGAGAGCGTGGAGACAGCTGGCCATCTGAAAGTTCTGGTGACGCAAGGGCATGCAACTTTTCCAATCACCACAGCGAGGCTCACTGGTTGTTGGTGCCAAGTGCTGGTCACAAGCACCAGCTGGGCCAAAGTTGAAGGGACCTGCAACCAATTGAGGCTTGCATGCAGGGTTATGCCAGGGTTATGTAAGTGCTTCGCAAAGCAGGTTGATGGGCCGGTGTGGTTTCACCGCGTAGATGTTCTCCGAAGTCCAGAACAGGCTGCAGGTCAAGTTCTTGAAGTGCAGATCTTGAGTTTATTAGCGTGCATCTTTGCAAGCAACTGCCGCACTGCAAACATTTGCCGAGGATCAGACCTGCAGGCTTCCATGATGTGAGGTGCAAACAGCACCTGTGTTAACGAGTACTGGGGACACCGCCGGCGATGACGATGACACACTGAAGCTGCACAGTGACCAAGACCTTCTGCACATGCTCCGGCAATAGGAGTAGTTGTAATAGTAATAAAAAAAAAGGACAGCTCCCAGAGGACAACCTAAGTTTCAGTAGTTATTTCTCAGCTACGTCCAGCACTTCCTGGACCTCCGCAGGAGCATTGCTCAGGCAAAGGTGGTCATCTCCGGCGCTCTTTCCTCATGCAGAGCATCTAGAGGCATACACCTTGAGAAGTCTGCTTAGAGGATGAGAAGCTCCCTCAACAAGAGCCATTCTCGACCAAGCCCAGCTAAAGTTGGGAAAATGCTCTGAGGTGCCATTCTAATTATGGCGAGTCTTCCGGGCTTCAGTTTGGTCCCGCTGTTCAAGAAGAATCTTGCAGATTGTTCCTTTGGCTGATGGATGTTTGAGGACCCCGAGCAGGCTCAGAGCCTCTTTGACGAGATGGTCAGCACCCAAGTTTGACATCTTGCCATTGTTTTAATCTAGCAAGGTTCATGCAAGATGTGGAAGTCTTTGTCGTGCAGGCTTCCAAGCATCAGCCTAGCTCAACAGCCAGGGCTGAGCTGGTGCGCCTGCTCAGCCTGTCAGGTCTGGTTGCCATGAATTTTGCATCATGTAGCTGTCCTGCCTTTCATCGTGTGTTCTGGGTTTCCTATGGTGGAAACTGTCGGCAAAGGCTGTAGCCTTGGCGAGTCGACGGCGCACAGCGCGAAGTGCCTTTGCAGTTGCGGGCGAGGCCGGAGCTGAGCTATCCAGCACTTCAACTGTGTGCATTCATGTGCATTCAAAGCTGCAGGCCGCCCGCAGTGGTGAAGCGTCCGCGCTGGCATGTCTGATTTCGAGTGCGCAACACTGGAAGACCTTGATGGCAGGCTTTCTCCGCGGCTTTGCGTGGCGCTGGCACGTGCCTGTGCAGAAGAAGGTCGTGCAGACGAGGCAGGTTGTAAATTCAAATGTGCTGCTAACTACCGGCCACTTTCATGACTCAGCAGATGGACGAGACATGGACTGGTCAACTTTGAAGAGCGTTTCGGAATCTTGACAGTCTGAGCTCAAAGCGGAGACAGCGATGGGTTGCACAGGGTGTCTGTTGAACTCTTTCATAGTAAACTTATTTGACAGCTTGTGCTAAGCATTAGGTAAAACAAGTGAAGCATCTAGTGTGCAGATGGTCTCACTTGAAACTGTTCAGCGAAAAAAGGTTGTGTAGCCTACCGTGCATCCCACTTTATTGATCAAAAGAGCTGTGATCAAAGGCAAAGCTGCTCAGACGGAGAATGATGGTCTGCAGCTCAGCTGGGAGCAGCGACTCAACTTGATGGACTCGTGCTTCTTTCAATCGTTGCGCGAGCGCAGGCGGCAGGCATTACTCCTGATGCAGGAGGGGCCCAAGCTGGCTCAATTGATTTATTCCGGGGTGTATCTGGGGGCCTTGAGGTATGCGTGCAGACTTGGTTCGGGCCTTTGGAGCAGCGGCAGCCAATGCTCGAGGTGGCCGGCAAACTTTAGATTTAAAATGTCTCAGAGTCAGTCTAGGCGAGGCTCATGTGGCCACTGTCCGGAGGCGGAGAGCGGACGAGGCTGCTGTCGAACGTGGGGACCTGATCCAATTTCGAGCGCGAGAGTCGGGTTATGTCGAGAAGTCCAGGCTTGGCGAGAAGTGCAGGAGGCCAAAGCACAGGGCGCGCTACCGCCAGAGCTGCTACATGCCCTGCGCAGATCTCGGTTCTTGAACATCAGAGCGTCAACCATGGTTCCCAGTGACTTGTGTTCGAGCAACGAAATGAGCTTCAGAAAAACGTGGTCCCCTGATTATCTGGGGCGACGGAACATGCTCTGTGTAGATGCTTTCCTGCCCCTTCCTGCAAACTTGCGCGTGTTGGGCCAAGATGTTGCTTCTGGGATCCTGCAATTCCGGTGGTGAGTTTATGGACTTGGCGCGGCCTGAAAGGCTAGCAGCTTACTGCTCCGCCGACTTGGCGGGGAACTTGGTGCTACAATTTCGCCAGGCTAGTTGGACAACTTCTAGAGATGCATGAACGAGCAAGGCTGGCCACGCCCAAGAAGTTCTGCTAATGAGTTGCTTGCTCATTGCTGCGTGGTTCGGGAGGGTAGATGTGCAGTGCAGCTGCAGCCGTACGAGGCGTCTCGGAGCTTGGCCTGGAGCCGGACGAGGTCGCTTATGCGATCGTGCTTTCAGCCTTGGGGCCCAGGTTACGAAGTTTTGAGTGGCATATGGCATATGCACCCCATGTGGGCAACTTCACCTTTTGATATTTGTCGGATTTTCTGAGTTTCATGGATGGTTGAGGCATTGGAGCTCACCTCCCCGACTGAGTTCCGACGCTTGTGGTTCCGCATGCGGAACATGCCGGAACGTCTGCGGCTCGGACATGGTGGCATGTGTTTGGAGGGGCTTGCAGCGCGAGAGCAGCGGCAAACATATATGCAGGTCTGGAATGGCAGCAGTGAAGCAAGTGGATGTGGTTGTCAAGTTTGTCCAGGTCCGGGCGAGGTGCTGCTGCAGCAACTACCTGAGCGTTCGGTTGTCGATGGCTGCTCGTTCAACTGGCTTAGCTGGCTTCATGTGCTGTCATGCTGCAGTGCCTTTCATAGGTCAGCACTTCGGGTAGCCACGAAGCTACAAGACATGGCATTCGCACGATCAGCCCTTGGCCAAGCTAAGCAGCTGGCATCGCTGGGACACTCGTGACGAGATGGCAAGTTGTCGTGCCAGTGATTGCTTATGGAGGCGCTTCATAGGTTGCACGGGCACAAAGACACTACTGTAGCACCCTTATTGCCAAGCCTGGTTACAGAGTCTTCATTGGCACCCTGGGCAATGAGAAGCAAGGAATTGTTGGGAAGGCGTTAAGCAGCATTGAAGATTTCTTGCTGTTCCATCCTGGCCTGATTCTTTGTAAAGATATGTTTGCAGGTATTGCATGCGTCTAATTGGCAGGAATATCTGTGACTCCTGTGTTGTCATGTCAGGGGCTTTCTCTCCGGTGTAAGAAACGAGGTCGTTCCAATGTTAGAACTTAGGACTCCGCGTGTTACCTGATGTCCTGATGCCATCTGTATGAGTAGGAACCAAGCATCTCTCAGATACAAAGTGCTGGCATGACGCAGGTGGTCCAGATCTTTTGGAATGTTGGAAGAATATTGAAATCATGTTGTCATGTTCACTTCACTACAAAGTGTGCAAAACATTTGTTGTTTCTACTGAGGTCCTGGAGATGCTCTTCGAGGCCCGGCCCATGCAAGAAAAAGATCTGGAGTTGAGCAGAGAGCGGGTGGGAAAGACCTGGCATGAAAGTGCAGATGGGTTTTGGCGCAGGCCAAAGTCGCCCCAGATGCTGCATCTCTGGCAACCCTTACAGCACTGACAGGCAGGGAGATGACAAGCAGCTCAATAAGTCACAAACTGTATCGACTGCAAAGGTCCAGAAGCTGCGGCTTTGCGCCGCCTCCTTGCAGCTTTCGGCAAGGCATTAGCTGGCGCAAGCATTGCTGTGTGCCTCTTTGCTTATGAACATGATTTAAATCAAGCTAGTGATTTCGGCTGATGAAGTGGTTGTACCCTGCTGCCAGGTTGGAATACGCCCAGCCTTGCCCGGCCAAAGAGGTAGCTTTGAAAAACTCGACTCAGATGGTTTAGCAGAAGAAAAGTGGAAGCGTGTTTCGTGTCGCTGTTAAGGCAGGCTTGTCAGAGCTAATGAACCTCGCAAGATGAAACTTGAGCTTGCACATTTCTTTCAGTATTTTTGTTGGGAGCTGCCATCAGGGAAGGACAGCTCACACCCGTGCGCCGGCCGCTTTTATCAAGTCATGCGAAACACCTGCCGCCCACAAAGCTGCGGCAGCTCAGACCTCAGCTTTTCCTACTGGATGATATTCTGCAGCTCTAACACGGTTATCATGCTTCAGCATTTAATAGAGATTCCAGTCAAACTTGCTAAGGCCATACGCCGTGATAATGGTCGCCACCCAAGTTGTTGACGGCTCTAGTGGTTTGTTGGCAGTCACCCCAAACAAAAAGCTGTGCCCGTTTGAGATACTTGGAAGCAACCAACGAGCCAGCATGCTTGCTTATTCCTGTGTGTTAAGGACGCTGGAGAGTCGGGCCAGGCCTGTTGGTACGTCAGATGCAATGGCATGCCCCTTCAGCATTTTTTTGGTGGCAGGCGGAGTATCGTTCTGGGCAACCTTCGGCGCGCCACCCGGCTCAGCTTATGGCCGAGAGCCGTATTGCCCATGCAAGGGCTTGTGCCAGGAAGCCTTCATCCATCTTGGGTTTTCGCTAGTTCATAGTGCCAATGTGCTCCAGGCGGAAGACGGCAGAGCGTTGTATCAGCGGCTGTGCCACGTCTCCAACAGAGCACGGGAAATAGTCTCACTTGGAAGGCCTTAGTACGTGCTTCACTCGTTGGCATGGCCACTAACCATCACTAAGGATGTCAACACAGGAAAGCAGCCTCCATCGCGGGAAGGCTCGTTTCTGCGAAGGCTTACAGGCAGCTTCGTTGGCGAAGAGCCAGGCCTAGTGACCTTACTGCATGAAGTGCTCAGGATTTCATCTGCAGGTGCAAGTGTAGGCTATGGGATCTGCAAACAATGCTGATGACTTTTCAAGAAGTTCAGACGGCGGCAGGGCCATGCCCATAGGTGCACATATCTGCCAGTATTTGTGATGAACTCAGGACACTGCTGAGAAAGAAAAATGGAAAGAGATGATACAGCAGGTTCGAACATGCTCCTTTTGCACTGTACCTGCTGCGGCGTTACAGAAAGCGATGGGGCTTCTTGAGTTCCTCTTCCGACTCAGGCAGGACTCTCATCAAGATCTGCCTCGTCTCATGAAAATCCCGTCCACGAAGAAGACGAGAAAGAAGAGGGTAAGCCAGGCTTCCAGCGCAGTATCAGCCTCAGCTTTAACCCCCAGGCTCTCAGACCTCGGAGGAGGGTGCAAGCTCAGGTGGAACTGGTTGGACAAGCGTCCCCAAGCGGGAGCGTCAAGTGCAAGCGCGCCAAAGAGCGCTGGTTGGACAGCGATGCCAGAACCTCAGACTTCTCAGTGGGCTCGTAGATGCATGCGTGGCAAGGCAGGGCAGGGCTGGAGGCTTTTCCCCGCAGGTGCCGCATCAAGACTGATGGCAGCCAGCGTCCTCGAGTCGGAGGCATTTGATGTTGCCACCTGGTTTACACCGGGCACAACAGCCTGTGAACACAAGTAAGGCCTCATGGTAGAGGGCTTTTGCGGTGGCGGTACAATATTTCTAAAGATACTACGAATGCTATGGAAGCAGACGATTAGTTGCATTGCTGGAAGGTCTGAGCACAGACTCTTGCACTCAAGGGGGCTGAGATGATTCACGATTATTTGTCTCTGGCAGTTCTCCTTGCAGTTGCTGCTGTGACTGCTGGTTAGTAGCGGCAACATCTGGCTTGCGGTTTTGCGCCCATTTCATGGTAGTAGTTGTGTTAGCGGTGAGCAACTGCTAAAACAAACTCTCAACTTGCTAAAACAAACTGCCCCGTGAAACTCGACCAACCATCACCAGCCAGGCTGGCGTCTAGCAACAGATCCTGCTTTTCTCGCTGGCTGCAACTCAGGTAATGATTATCATTATCCTTGCTAATGCAATCACGATTGGCATCGAGCAGTCGCACCGAGTTGGGGGCGTGGCTTGTTGTTGGATCTGACTGGACCTAGGAGTGTGGCTTTTCGGGTTCCAGCTTGGAAGCTCAAGACTCGGGATGTCAATCGCGCAGGGTTGCTTGGGAATTGGTGTTTCCTGAGGAGAGCTAGGTGTGAAACATCTGCAGCCGCAGACGCGCAGATTTTGCTCATGGGTTGGTTTGCAATTTAGGTGCAAAGCACAAAAACTCAAGATTGGTGAAAAAGAGGGTGAACAGACAATAGAGCTTGAGCTAGCATGACGGGCTTTCAAGGGCGACCCATACGACTTCTTGTCTTGCCATCTAAGGGCAACACCAGTGCATTCCCTTTGAATGTCCTGGAGCATATCTTTCTGGCACCTTGCAATGTTGATGCGGCAGGGGTTCTGGTAATTGCTGAGCAGCATGACGCTGATGACTGCTCATGCTTGCCAGTGAAGGTAATCTACACCGTGGAGATTTTTTTGCGCTTCTATGTGAGCGGGCCCTTGAATGCCTTACGAGATCATTGGGTCAAATTTGATATGATCCTGGCGTCTGGGTGGCAACGAGTAGGAGACTTGTGCAGTAGCATTGGGCTTTGCCAACTGTGTTAGAATGGAACTTGTAGGTCCTGATGGGCTGGCTCGTGCTCTGGATTTTGCCTGCGGTGGTGGACCCTGGCCTGCAGCAATGTGCAGTGGTTCAAACGTGTGACAAAGCTGACCAGATCTGCCCAGAGTCATGTTTGGCAAGGCAGCCATGTCAGCCTCAGGGGCTGACACTGACATCAACAATTATTCGGGCTTTTTAACCTTGAAGCTGGGTCTGCAAAGAGCTTCGCTGTCGATTGTACACTTGGCTATGGCATGCCTCTCTGTCATTCAGCAGAAGCTGAGGCGGACGCTGAGACTCTTGCGCTGCTTGGCTTTGCAGAACGCAAGACTGGCCTTGCGTAGGCCGCAGTTGCATTCACCAATCAACGTAGTACTAAGGCTTGGTGAGAACAGCCCGCATCATCACCAGGATGCATGACGCATGGCCGCAGCAATTGGCAGGCCTTGGGGGACAGCTGCAGATAAAAAGTTGTCGTCAACAAAAGTTTTGTCTCTGGTCTGGCCTGCATGGCTTGCGATGCCTTTCTGGAACCCACAAAGGAACTCTGGATGCTGGTTCAGATGGTCACCTCTTGTGCAACTTGGCTAACCCTTCAGCAGGGAATTCTCAGCATTAGAGGGAATATTTGAGGAGGCAATCCTGGACACGTGCCAGACATGAAGACGTGTTTAAGTTGTAAGATGCTTTCACGAAGGCCAGCACCATGGTCTATACACTGCTGCCGTGGTCTCAGCTTCATGCACTTGCATAGCTTCTGCTTGTGGGCTCGACCTGCTCACTCGTCTGGTTCAGACGTGTCCGTTGTACGGAAATTCAGGTTGCTGCTGACGGTGTTATACCTGCTACTTGGTAGCAGCGCCCATGCCCATAGTTCTGCAGTTCGCAGCGTAATCACAGCTCAGGTTCTCTCTGCTGGCAGCCTCGAGGATGCAACGAGATACATCTTGGAATGTCTTTGCAAGTGGGAGCGCTTGAAAGATGCGGCCGAGGTAGAGGTGATCACCAACCACCAAATGGCAACCAATGAGCAGCTAAACCCCAGTTTCTACAGCGCCCGCATCTTACGTGCTCTAATCATGCAGCAAGCAAATGGCGTGCCCGGGGCTTTGTACTTAGGTGGCCGACGAACATTTTGAAAATCTCTTCGTGACTATGATGACACTGGCTGCTTGGCTACGACCCGCCCTAGTTTCGGGCAGCTCCCCCTTTGCACAGCTCCCCCTTCAGTCTCAAAGCAAAAGAGCAAACTCGGCGCAGTGCAGACAATGAGAAGCAGAAAGCTCCTATAAGTAGGGCCAGGGCCAGCCCGGCATAGTCACGAGTCCTGGATGGACAAAGGGCCAGGTACAGCCACAGGAGCCCGGGCTCTGCAGCACATACTCAAAATGTGCTTTGCATAGCCAGCTCGGAATCCCGAACTGCAGGTTCAGTTTGTTACCCTGGACTCCATGTCCAATGTGTACAAGCCGCTCATCAAGGCGCTCATTTGCGCATCTCAACCTCTGCGGCAAGACTTGCTGCGGGGCAGGCCGACCCGCGCTTGGCCATCTACTTTGGAGGCCTCTCCTGGCCAGCTAGATCATATCTCGGTTTGCCAGACTGGTCGTGTGTATGATTGAGGCATGGTGCTGGTGATCTCCATCGTGCGCTCAGAAGTTGATAAAGCCAAGAAGGGAGAAGCAGACTTCAGATCTTGTCAGGTATTGATGAATCTCATCACTGCCAGGGGCCAAGGAGTCGGTATGGGCCGGTGCTTCTTGGTGGCCAAAGCTTCGACGCTTCAATCTGTTGAGGCCGTCATTGTCAATAGCGCACTCGAGCAGGCAGTCACATGGAGCTTCCCACTACACGCATGAGATATCATAGGATAATCAGCCGGCAGACCTTGAACATGCAGCTGCGTTCTGGGCAAGATTTTTCATCATTTTTGAGACAATGTGGGCTTTGTGGTAGGCACGCCAAGCCGTGACATTACACGCCAGCTTTTGGTGTAGACCAGACAGAGGACAAATGGTGTTGTGAGCAAATGCCGAAGTTTGAAGCAGGCCTCCAGCAACAAGGAGATCCAGAGAATTCAGGACATTTAAACGAGCGTGTGCGAGCAGAAAGCTCAAGGAATCCCGGCTGAGTACATATGTCCCCCCCGGCAGGAGAACAAGCGTCGCAAAAAGACGATTGAAGAGCTGCGTTCGATGTTCTCACGTCACTTGACCAGTTTGAGCAGGCCAACTGGTTGTCAGCTGTCAGAACTCAAGGTCTGGACGAGGACGGTAGTGGAACCATCACCTTAGCGGAAATCATGGAGGCCAGCGAATCATGACGGGGGCATGCTGCACCATGTGCCAAATCTCACGATGCCTGCATCCGAGACCATTGGAGTGTGATGGGATCAGGCAACTGAAGAAGATCAGATGCTCCTCAAGAAGTTCTTGACGCTAGAGAGTCCACTTGAAATCTTCCGTGGCTGGCCAGGATATAAATTGTTCTTGGATCTGGGATTTCAGAAGGGGCCGAGAGAACACGGAAGAAGTATTGACCGAGGCATGTTGGACATTGACAACTCCGGTCAACTCAACATAGAGGAGTTTTGCGAAGGCGTCATACAGCCGCGCGGTTGCAGGAATACCGCACACAAGCTGGATATCTGCGTGTTTCTCTAGTAGGCCTCACCTGAGGCACGTCACATCAGATAGATCTGTCGAGTTCAAGCGCATTGACAAGAACTTCAAGCAGCTCAGGAAGGAAGTAAGGCGCACACTTCGAAATTCAGCTTAGCTCTACTAGTTTGTTTGCACGTCCTCCAACATGAAGTCGAGAGGTCCTTGCAATTGTCAGTGGACAAGCTGATTGGAATAGTCAAGCAAACCGCTGGCCTTGCATCAACATCCAGCCTTCCCGTGAGCGTTGCCTCAGTCTCTGGGCAGCATTCATCCAACGAAATGCAAGTGGAAATTTCAACAAGTTGAAGTTTGGATGCTATATGCCCACCCTTAAGCAATCCACTTGCTCACGTCCAGGATCTCAAGGAAGGCAAGCCCAAGCGGAAAGGAATATACTTCGAGGAGGAGCAGAAGCCAAGGCCTAGAGTTCCTGGTGGTTATTTGAGCTATAGTCTAATAAACTCCTGAAAAGGGGGTTATATAGGGGAGTATATGGGGGATTATTATCGGGCGTATTAAGGGGCATACTAGGAGTTAAATCCATGCTCCTGATTAGGAAGGGCCCCCCCCTATGTTCATAACCCAGGGCCAAATGTTCTAGGGAATCCAGATTCCAGAAGGAACCTACTCAAATCCGATTGAACCAGGTTGAAATTTACGTAAAATGTAATTGAAAGCCGTCTGGTATCACGTAGAATATCATTGAAATCCAAGTACAATCTATTGAAATCGAATTAGCTCAATCGAAGTCTGAATGGATTCTAAGTAAGCTCAATTGAGACCAAAGAAAAGGTAAAGTTTCTCGTCCAAAATATAAAGCGAAGCGAAGGTGAAACTCTGAATGTCCAATGTTTAAACTACATTCCAGAGGAACCATATTCAAATTGAAGTAAGAGCTAATGAGAAGCTTTGGATCTTTAGTTAAATCCATTTGAAATACAATTAAAACCTTTCTGAACATCGATTGATTTAATCTTGATGTGAACAGCCTGAAACTTACTTAAATATAATTGAAACCCGTTACAAAGTACATGTTATGTAATAGACTTCGATTTGGAACCCATTGAGAGCTCATTGAATGCCAGTAAGCAAATCATATTTCAAAAGCCTCCGTGCTACTCAAATTTTGGGCTGCCATAAGTCTTGAGGCTTATTCAAGCAGGCCTGCATTGTGCAGAGGCTCCTGAACATATTCTATTGACTTGAGGAATTTTAGAATTAATCCATGCAGCAGCACCCATAAGGGGAGCTGAGGAAGCAATGTTCGGCCCTGAAATTCCAAATTTAGTAGCAGATCATGTTTCAAAACCCTCTCCGTGCTACTCAAATTTTTGGGTGCCATAAGTATTGGAGGTTCTGAAAATATAGGGTTTAGAACTTGGGATCTAGGATTTAGGGCTCAGAACTTAGGTGTTGAAATGTAAAGTGTAACTTGAAGCCTGGAGTTAGTACGTCCCTACGAATACTCTCCTAGAACTACCGAACAGGTTTTAGGTTTGATTAGGGTATAGTAGATTTAGGTTTCAAGTTTAAGTTCAAGAGCCTAGAACTTACCTGGAGCCTTAGTTTCTTGATGATTTGCTTTAAATCTAATGTTTTTTGGCGCAAAAGTGCCTCTGTTTTGAAACTTATCTTTGACCCCAAATTTGGCCCAACAAATCTGTAAATACGGGGAGTTTTTATCAATCAGGAGCACAGAGTAGACTATAGCTTCTTTGGGGTGGGCTCTCAGAACATGAAGATGATTGACGAGCTGCCTAACCTGCGACCTGGTTCTGAAGTGTGCGGGACAATTAACACAGACAAGAGAACGACAAGTACCGAAGCCTCAATCTGAAAGCAGCACCTCCACCCTCGCAATGTTGGCAGGGAGCCCGTGACTGAATCTTTGGCACTGCATTTGGCCTTTTCTTTGGATGTCCGCTATGATGTGCTATTTTTGCCGGTTTCCACTGGATGTGCTGAGGAGCCAGAGCCGCGGGACCCGGCCCTGGAGTTGCAGACGCCGCCGGTTTGGGCCACGGAGCGGATGCAAATGGGTTCTGGGTTGCTGTATCCATAAGTTTGAACAGCTTCTATGCCAGATGCAAAATCTGCATTCCACTGCGGAATTGGCAGGATCTGTTCAAAACACTCCGAGAACCTTGGATGGCCTTCATGCAACCGTAGTTTGGATAGAGATGCTAGAGGTAGAATTTGGGCTACTTCCATGTCGTTCAGTTATGGATCCCTGTTGCAGTCTTGGCAATCAAATTCAGCGGCAATTCCATTCAAATTCGTGCAAGGAAGAACTGGCGCAGGAGTTCTGGCAGGCTTGGCTGCGAAGTTTGCATCTTCACAGGGTTGCATGCTGTGTTCTGCTCACTGCTGCTCAAGTACTACAGTGACATTTTTTAAACAAGTGGAGGACGGCCAACCACAATTTGCCATGGAGGTGGTATAAAAGATCTATTTAAATCCGGATGTTTTCCAGTTTGAATTCTATTCCGGATGTTTGAATCGTGGGCAGCCGGACGCCATGCTTTGCGGAGGTAGTCTGACCTACCAGTTCGGTAGTTTGCGTGTCCGGATGTTTAAAAAGCCTCACTGTAGTAGGAATGGATGGAGGGTCATGGACGCATGGCAGCACAGCCGCGCTGCAGCAGGGGTTTGCCTGACAGATGCATGAACAACCACGGCTACCAAGCCATTTGGTGTCAGGCTGGTGGTGTAAGTAAGGCTGGTCTGAGGCGAGTGGCGGTGCTGGGGCTTGGGTTTTGGCACCTTAGTCGGCTCAGGTGCGAAGTGACCTGGCGCGCGGCGTCGCTGTGACTGCGCAGCAGGCTACAATCTGCAACTGCAGATGTCCAGCTTCGTGACAGTCTATAGACATTCGAGAGCTGCGTGATGCATTCCGTTCAAAAGCCGGTGAGCTTGGCTAGCTGCAATCAGAACTTGTCAAGAGTGCGTGATGCAGGCTGCACGGGTGGCCACGGAAGCGCCAACAGTGCCTCGTCTGACAGTGGCATGGAGTTGTTGTATACGCCTCCACCAGAGCTCAGGAGGGAATGTCAGACAGTAAACCTGCTTGAGTAGTTAGAAATTGAACCCTGCGGCTTTGGTGTGGCGCGACTGCCGTGCCAAGGACGCATCTGACCTGCACCAGGATTGGGGATTGTTAAAACTTCACAGACAGTCATCTGGCGTGTCCTGAGCCTGAAGCCAATCAGCCTTGAGCAAAGTTCGTCAAGGAGGTGGCGGCAGCCATGAAGCTGGCTTGGGCATCAGACCGATTCCTGCACGAGCGGATTCTTGTCGAGACTTAATCAAAGACTTTGTAGTGAGATGAGTGCGGCTCAAGCTGGCGCTTAACAGTACAATGCAAATGCTGAAGTTGCCGGTAACTTGCAAGTGCTGCCAGATCTGCGGGCATAGAAGGCCCTACTGTAGCGGTAATGCAAGGTCCAGCCGGGACTTGTCGCGCACAGATCCGTCAGGGCTCTCAGCGTCGGACAACTTCTTGTGCAGCAGCTGTTTGGCAAGTGCTGTGGCAAGACCAGGTCGAGGATTGTACCAGCCGCACGAGGTGATCAGTACCTGAACTCGAATTTCAGACTGTTGGCAGAAAGCAGCTTGCAAAGATGTGAACATTGTCAGTGTCGTAATGACGAAGATACAAAGGACCGGTGCTGCCACTACAGTTCCCCGAGCTGGTCCTGCCATGCCACCGGCACCCCCGCAGATGGATACTGACTCGCCCCGGATGGAATTGGGGCCCTGGAAGGATTAAGCGGTCTGCCACTTCACAGTGGCTGAAGTGATAACATGATGCTAGCTTGCGACGATACATCTAGATATTCTGGAACCTTTTTTGGCAGGCCTTGTTTGGCAGCTGTCCCTCCACTTGCCACTTGCTGGAACAGCTGTGTCTTTGCTCTCGTCTGTGTAACACAGGAAACAGCAAAGTGGCATTTGCTCAGAAGCATGGCGCAATGTTCAAAACATGCTGCTGCCATGCCACCCCTTGTACACAGGAACATGATCCATCTGGTTGAGGCCGTGCTGATGAGGACCTTTAAACGGAGATCCATGTAAGCCAGAGCCCTGCAAACCTTAGATAACACTACGCCAAGAGCTTGGGGTCCAACATCTGTGCCTCTTTCCTATGCCGAGCCCTGCGAAGCTTGCAATGATTTTCCCACACCGGGTCAAGATGCCTGGCGTCAGAGGTGTCCTAAGGGATGTGGTCATGCCCGTGGTCAGCGCAAGCTTTCCGTAAACATGAGTAGCACTGGGCTTGTTTGCTTTGCAGCATCTGCTGTTGGCATTGCAGTGCCCGCGGCTATCCTTGAGGGCTTGGCGCTTCTCTGGTGAAAAGTCTGCTTTATGAAGGTGTATGCCGTATCAGACTGTGGGTTCAAATCATCGTTGTGCCAGCTACTTTGCCAGACCTTGCCACGCAACCCGAAGACACGGAACGATGTATGTTGAAAAGGTAAGTAAGAGTCAGCCGTTTGCCAGGGCCTACCCCCGCTTGCGACCTGTTCATGTGCAACCTGACACTATGTATTGTCAATCTTTCGGTCGCTTCTCCGCATGTAGAACTCTCATGCATCTTCAAGCTCCGCAAGTCATTCTGGCGCTGTGCAACTACAGCATGCTTGGACGTTCGTCACACTTTTTGCAAAACTGCCGCATGCGTGCTCTGATGATTTTGCTGTCCTTGGCTCTCAGAGGAAGCCAAAGCAGCCCTCAAACTGGAAGTTTACGCTTACAGCCTAGCAGGGCCAACTTGGGATTCATTACTTGGCATTTCCTAGCTGGAGGTTGAACTTGCAGGGCAAGGCTTGGTCATGCGTATGGGAGAACTTCTCCTCACGAGAAGCGGCACGACTTGCAAGGAACATTTCCGAACACCTACTAGGACCCTGCCACAGGAATGCAAAGACTCATCTTGTTGGTCTAGCTATCGGTAAGCGGTGTAAGCGGTAACACAGCAAGGAGCAACCCGCAGCAATGCATGTTAATACCAGTTCTTGCTGCGAACGCATCTTGTCATGCACAAAAACGAGGGTCCTGAAGCGCAGCCCTGCGGCCAAGAGCGGCACAACAACAAAAGAGCTGGTGAACGGGAACTCTAGACGACGTTGTTCCAACCTTGCAAAACCGCATTTGTCGCTGCTCGGCACGCAGTACCCGAGCCTAACGGCTCAAGCGATCTGCAGGTTTGGGCAGTTGCCGATGCCCTTCACATTGTCATGTGAACACATCCCGCTGTCTACCACATGGGCGTGCTTCTTGCCCTAAAGGTTTGAGACCGAGCCTTCCATGAGCAGCTTTGCAGATATGCAACACGGAGAATTCGTTCTTTAGCATGGCGAGATGGCATGCATGCCGCTGAGCAGAGGAGGTTCACAAGCTTTCGCGCGGAGCTCAGAAGCGCCCGTGTCCGTCATTGCAGGTCTTGGCATTCGCGTTCGTTGTACTGTGCAGAGTCAAAGTTTAGGGGTGTACAGCCAATCCTCCTGCAAGGCAGTGCTGTTGTTTCTGCAGCAGGCGCCTAGACAAATGTGGTGTTTGCCCGTGGTCCAAAGAGAGCCGGACAGGTGCTCGGCATCGGTGAAGCAAGCGATGCGGTGTGTTACAGCTCGCGTGGGTGTGCAAGTGCAGCTGTGCCGGCCATGGTTCCGGGTTCGGGATCTGCGGTCCTGTGTTCCTGTAGGGCCTTGTGGCGGATGAAGATTCCAAGGTGCTTCCAGTTGCTCGAGATCATGATTGCTACGCGTTTTGAGCTTACTGTGTAATCAAGCCACTCGACAGATCGCTAGATCCACAGAATGTTTACCTGTGAGATTCCACTTCGGTTCCTACAAACTGCTTTCCGAGTTTGGGATTTTGTGTCCATTTGTAGCCGCTAGGATGGCAGCTCTGCGCTTAGGTTGGAGACAGACTGTCTGGTGCGCTTGAACAGTACTGCAGCGGATGACCTGGTACCTTTGGAGGAGGTCATGGACGTGATGCAGAGAGGCCTGAGCTGTCAGCAGCTCAACTCCACTGTAAAGGCCTAAAGTTCTAACAGTCTCTGTATTTCTCGTACTGTTGCAATAATGTCCCCATGTCATGTGGGTTGTTGCTTCGAAGTACCAAGCAGCCCAGCAGAGCAGATGGTCGGGAGCGGCTGCATGCAGCTGCGCTGCGGGGAGAGGCTTGGCTGCGACGCGCGGAGGTGCCTTGGCCTGTCGTGTATATATATATATATACACATCTGTGGCACACAGACGGGTGTACGTATATTTTTATACATATGCGTCTACATTCTATATATGCAATTACACATGCATGCATACATGGAGGTAGCTCTATATCCAGCAAGGCTCAACCAGTTGGATTGATGCGACGAGTAGTTTCACAAAGCTGTTCTGTACTACTGCATCCGCGCAGTGCGCTTGTCAAAGAGGGGCATGCCGCGAGGATGCACCTAAACAGCAAACACCAAGCAAGTGCAAAATAGGTCGTTTGCAAGCGTTGTCTCAGAACATCCTCGCTGAATGTGCAAGGCAGGTTCTGATGCTGTTTGCAGTGCTTCAAGCTGCAGCTCTAGTAGCCAGTTGCTGTTCCAAGCATGTGCTGGCAGCACAGCTTAGGTTCACTGTGCAAGCTCCGAGGTTGGTGACATTAGTTGCGTTCTTCAACTGCCCAGCTGGAGTTGGTGCTCAAGTTGCGGGGTGCCCCCAGTTAGCAGATGCCAGGTTGTTGAATTTCCCGAGAAGCCAGAGCAGCTTCAGCGGCTGCGTGCCAAAATCAGAGCCGCCCTTGGCAGCTTTGGCAAAGCAAAGGCGAGGCTCGTATGGTCGTATTTTGCATGTTTTTGCTTGGGATGCTGTCAGGTCATCTTGCTGCACGGAGATGAGCTCGAGGCTGGATACGCTCATGCTTGGCTCTTCCGGCCCCCAGCAAGCACTACCATTGCCGCTTTGGCTTTGGCACCTGCTGCCCTTTGTCAGGATGGAGTCGGTGCCCGATTCAAGCTGCTTATCCAAGGTTGGTTGCCTTTGTGACCTGCAGCATTTCATAGAAGTTCAAGCTTAGGAAAGCGCTGGAGTTGGTCGCTACAGCCCTGATCATTGGATTTGATGCAGTCCTGCTCTCCCTACCGCCCGCTGGCGGGCTACTGCAACGTGATGAAAGTAGAGGCTTGAATCCTAGCTCCGTCTAGCTCCTGTGGCTTTGTCAAGCCAAGGCATCCCCAAAGTTGGGAGCCACAGCCTCAGGCGGTTTGCTAGCCATTTCTGAGTTTTTGTTTGCCATGCAAAGGCACCCTGTTTGGTGTCACGAGAGCCCGGCAGATGGACCTGATCGGCAGGATCCCATGAACCCGGCGTGCCCTGGCAAAGTTGCTTGCTTGGAAGTGTGTCTTCAGATGCCGGAAGATTGAGGTATCCGATCCGGTGCTGGCGCTTTGATTTGCAGACGGACTTCCTCGCCCAGAGCCAGGCCGAGCAGAAGGGCAGCTGAACCGTAAACAAAGGGTTGGATTTTGTATGGTAAGAGCTTAATGCTTGTACTCGACGTGCTGACACAAACTGCACTTGCTATGTTTCAGCATGCTGTAGGATCCGGAGACCGGTCGGTTGCTTCTCTGGGGCGCGGAGGCGTGGGAAGCATTGATGGCGACGATAAGTTGCAGATGGTCATGGCATTTGGAAGGATGAAGTGGAGCTCTCCAGCGAGTTGCGGTCACAGTGCGACTGCAAGTCAGGTTTGAGCATGCAACTAAAGAGCTTGCTCGCAGCTTTTGCTGGCTCCCAACCATGCATTTTAAAAGGCCCAGCAAACAACACCCAACAGATTTTGCGCACAGTTGCCTCAGAATTCCATAGTGGCCCTACGATGGGCCGCCTCCCTCTCGAGCCTCACGAGATAAAGGAGAGGGCTGCAAAGGCACGACGCTGCCATGCGAGGATGAAGATGCTGACGATGTGTGCTTCACGTATGGGGCTTGGTTGAGCAGGCCTTGCAGAGAGGCTGCTTGCCTTTGCCAAGCCATGCTCGCCGGACCGATGCGCAGCGGCTGATTGGTCTGCCCCTCCCTCACTCCCGCAGTTGTGATTCTATATTTGCAACTTGCGAGCTCATGAATGGCCCTTGTAGATCCCGAATGTACTGTAGTGCAGAACAGTTGAGGATGGAATATGCGCGCAAGTGGGAGGTTGACGAGGAACTGCTTGTGCTCCTTGTCTGGTAGGATTGACAGGTTCTGCTTGCATGGCGCCTGCTAAGCCCAAGGAAAGCGGAGAAGATGCTTGAGAAATGGTGGGACCAGATTGAGCGCCACGAAGCAATCGACATCCTCCAGCAGGAGCACGGGGTTGAAAGGTTTAACGTCATGGCCACATGCTGAAGCCTGAAGGCCTTCTATCGAATGGACCGGAACGCGGACGGTTTCGTCGACAAGGAAGAATGGGGTGTCTTGGCAATGCTTGCACCATTTGCAGATGCCGTGGACCATTTGCAGGCTTGCTTGACAAGGTCGAATGATGGGCAGGCTCGAGACTGTTGGCTGGGCAAGGAAGGCCATGGAGGACATCTTCACCAGATTTGACGGCTGCTCGTCTGCTCGCCTGCCTGCCTGCTCGCTGCAGCAAACCATGAGGCAGTGAGTTTTGAGATTCTCATGTCGAGCGACAACCGGGGCAGCCTAGGAAACCGCGACCGAGTCTTGACTTATTAGTGGAGAATCTTTGTGCCTCCTTCACTTTTGAAGTTGTAAGTCATTGTAAGGCAAGCTTGATTATGAGGAGCTTCTCAGATGCAGCTGCTTCAGCCAGTACTGCCGCAGAGCCCTGCAAACTTCACGTATCTCTGAGGATTGTAAGCAACCTTCTGACAAATGACAAAGAAGGGCACAAGCTGGTGAAGCAAGTTGCCATGACGCCTCCGAATGAGCATGAAGGCCCTTCTCTGCTCACCATGCAGATATCAGAGTGCTCTGCTTGAGATGACGCGGCTTTGGCAGGTTTGCTCGGAATGTTTGGCCATGATCTGCTGAAGGGGACTGCCTATCGTGAGTTTCCGATTGCTACCAGAGATGCTCTCGCATCTCAACTGCATGATTCTGCAGAGCGGCGCCTGGCCTTGAGAACCCGAAACGAGTGCCTGTTCAGCTGCCGCCCAGGGTGATGCAGACATCATCGGGGTAATCTTCATGACCTCCAGCACCATCGCCACTTTTATCGAACTCGTGTTGTCTCTTCGTGGAGTGCTGCAACAGAATCACCAAGGACAAGCAACTTTATCCTCTCACTCTGCTCCAGTACAACAGGGACTGATATTCGCACATGGGGAGTTCTGGGAGTCGGCACTTGCCCCTGCAGGGGTACACTACCTACCTGATCAAAGAATACACAGGCGGAGCAGGCCCATTTCACCACAAATCCTGCAGGAGCTGCTACAGCGCGTGGCCTCGCCTGGACTCCTACCGTCAGTTGCACATGATCCACATGCAAGATCTTGCAAATTTTCGCAGTATTTCTGGCATGCCAACCTGCATCATTTTTGAGTGCAGGCTTTCCGCAGTCCTATGGTCAGATGACAGACTTTGGTTTTCGCCGCCTCATGTGCAGTTGTTTGAGGTTGTACCTGGATCTGCGCAACCCTGATATTGAAAGCAAGCCCAGCGAGAAGTTCGAAGTTGTACTGTGCAGCTTTGACACTGACTGGGCTACTTGGACTTCTTTCTGAGTAGCACTTGCCAAAACTTGTAGGTGTTCATCATGTAGCCAATGACCCAGGAGTGCTTCACACGCACGGTGGGGCGCCCTGGACCTCCTGCCCCTTGGATGGTGATGCCTTTCGACTGTCCCTGGGTACCTTGTCGTACAGTGGCTCCTGTGTTTGTGTGTATGTATGAATGAACATGCGAACATAGGTATGTACGTGCTTGGTCAGCCGCACAGTCTGCAGCTAAGGAACGCGACCACCTGTGGAGACTGTACAACAGCAAGTTTGAGAATCGTGCAGTTGCCCGGTTGCAATCGCACAACTCTCTGAGACGCTCTGCCAGTGGAGCCCTGGACCCCAGGATCCAGCCTTGGTGATTCTAACGCCCAAGATGGAGATCATCTCTGTTGATGGGATTTTTGGCTGCAACTCCTTGGGGTGCGTAGAGGTTTGAAAAGGAGGGGCTGAGAACAAGTGGTCAGTTTTTACATGCAGACCTCCAAACGTTTGACTGGACAAGCTTGATCATGGTAGTCACTGCCTGCTGCACTTGAGGTTTGGCGATCTTGATGTTCCTCAGCATCTCCGGATGAAGATCTTCGAGGAGTGGTGTGAGCAGGCCGAGGAGAAGGAGGAAGCAGAACACGAAGCAGATGAAGCCAAAAAGGCCTGAGATTTGCCAGCGGACCGCTCTTGACAAGTCTTTTTGTTGCGGCCTTTGCGGAATTGGTCTTCGTCCGCTTCAAGCGTAGTTTGCCAGTACAGGGTTGGAATTCAGTCTTCCCCACGGTTGCAAAGCAAGCTGGGGGGACAAAGATGGAGGGCTATGCCTTAGGCCTAAGTGCTCAGTGCACACCCTCTGTAGCATGAGCTTTTGCGATGTGCTGTCCTCTAGGCTTGTGTTCTGGAGCAGTTGTCTTGCCATTGTTTGTTTGTACTGATGTCGACATGGAAGTGGCCAAGCAATCCAAGCAAGCACATCCATCAAAAGCCGCGCTACAATTCATAGCATGGTGGTCGCAAGACCTTGCTCTTTTTCCCGATGCCAGAGCAGTTTTGGCCGAATGATCACGTCTAAGACGCGCGCGGCGACTAACACTTCGGATTTGCCGAACGGCAATGTCACACCGGAGGCAAATGACGGAATGGAAGTCATTCTGGAGTACAAGCCTCACCATGCATGATCCCATGATTTCAGAGCATAAGCATGAGGCTATCTGCCACGCCAAAGCCACAGCTTCATTGTTGTGACCTCAGCTCTGACATACATGCTACAGACAAGCCTTCAAATGCTTTTGTCCTGGAAGGCCTGAAGTTTGAAGGCCAGCCGAAAACGGATCATGGCTGGTGCAGCAATTTCAAACTCTGCCAACACAAAGTCTGTCGCGATAGCTGGAAGGCAACTTGGAGGGCCCTCCATGGCAGATGCTGCAAAAGGTGCCTCTGGAACCCGCTTCTGTTTTGTAGCTAAGTACGTCAGATGCGAGTAACATGGGAGAGCATAATCTTGCTTTCTGCGAATTCGGAATCGGGTCAGGAGAAGCTTCTCCGAGAGCGGCCTGCAAGGGCCTCAAGCAAAGCTTTGGCTACCGCTGGGGAATGTGAGCCACCTGTTTTTGAGTTGACCTCCCTACAAGAACTGCTCCTTCGCAGTTTGTCCATTGGCCTTGCCTCAGGACATCCAGCGCTTGTTTTCCTCGGTGCGAAGCTTTGCAGCACCCAGCAAGGCCGGCATGCCAGAAGGACTCGCGCCATTACTATGGGTCTAGCCACCGGTTTCAAGAGGCCACGTGCTGCTATGAATTGCCACCCTGCAACGGAGGTGCTGCCCATTCGCCGTGAGGCTGCCAGTCAAACTTCTTGATAGCTGAGTGCGGTTGCCGCGGCATGTGCTCATCGAACGAATTTTGCGCAGGCAGACTGTGGCTATGGAGGACCCAGCGACATTAAGCATGTAGCTCTGCATGACTGGGCCCCACAGTATCGAGAGCTGGATATCAATGACCTTGCTGCAGAATAATTGTGTCATGTGGCTTCACTAGGTTCGGCGAGGGGATGTTGGTGAGGCTGCCGGTTATTCCTTGCCGCAAGGCGCTTAGCTACTTGACCGCCAGAACTCGAAATTTGTTCGCATAGTTAAGCAGTAGTTGCCATAAACAGGGGGACTTTAACATAGATCCCAAAATCTATCAATATACTATAGCCCTCATCATGGAGACCCCCAAAATGGGACCCCTGATTTTGGGAAACGGCTTTTCGACCGGCTGCTGAGCTTTCTAGAATGCACCCAGCATTGCCGCGTGGGCCGTCTGACTCACAAAGTGATCCCAGCCGTCCAGATACTTTGCAGTTGTTCCTCCGAATCACTTGCCCTCAGCTGTGTCAATGTGTGGATGGAGCTCTGGGGTTTCAAATGCTGAAGGCAACAGCTGAAGGGCGATGATTTCGCAAGGCCACTTGCTTGCCCAACAGACAGGCATGTCCAGTTCATTTGTTGTTCCTCGAGGTGGTTATGTGGGCTTGCAAAGGCGGTTGCCGCTGCGAGCTTAGCAAGTAAAGCATGTCTGGCCTCAATGCATCCATCCCCTCCCCCTTTGCTAGCACTCTATCTTTAGATTATTGACCAGCTGCTAGCTTAACTTGTAGGCAGAAAACCCATCGTGCCATCCATTCCATTTTCCGCTGGCCTGGAACTCCTCCTTGAAAAAAGGAACATATGGCCCGGACCATGCTCTTCCTGAGGAGCCTTTTGGTGTCAGGCTTTTGCTCCACGCCCGACTCTGAGCACTTGCTGTGTTTTCTGCAAGGAAATGTTTCAGAGTGTGCTTGCAAGAGGGCACCCCTCTGCAAAATGCCAGCTGAAAACCTGGCCCACATTGGCCCGCATCATTGTTATGCTATCCTTCTGGGGTGCATCATGGTGCGTGCCTGCTTGCAGTTGTGGAGCTTTTACTCCAGTCCTTCGACGCACCTGTTTCCAACCGTGCACTTTTAATCGCACGAACGCAGCACAAGCACTTTTGCATTCACTGTTAAGTACGCTTGGTCAAGTGCCCGATCCGCCTTGGGCCTTAGCGGTTTTGGGGGCTTCGATGGTTCAGGGATAAGGGTAGAGCTCATGCAACCCAGACTGATGTAGCAATGTAACACATCGGTACACACTTGATTTTGCCATGCGCGCGGTCAAATGAGACATGCTCCGCAAAATCTAGCATAGCCATCCGTGACAGGTCTTCACAGAAGCGACAGGGAACAGCCGCAAAGCCCTCATGCAAGTGAGGGGCTCGATGATGATAAGTCCTGCAAGCATTCCCCAGCAGCGCAGCCACAGCAAGTAGGTAAAGCTGAGATATCACAAGTGCTTTAGAATGTCAAGGATTCTGTTTGCATTGAACTTGAGGTTGAATACAAAGAGTCACTGGCAGTGATGACCAAGGTAGGTTTGCCAGGCTTTGCCTTCACCCCATCGGTCTCGGACGAGCTGCCAGCACGCTCAGCAGTTCAGACTTGTGAGTCAGCCTTTTTTTTGGGGGGGTGGTTCGTCACAACCTCTGACATGCTCTGATTGCGGACGCAGAGCTCTGTAGACCCCCTGGTGGCCCCGTTGACCCTGCCTCTTGACGCTTGTCCCCACGTGTTAGCACTGGCCAAGGCCAGTCTTCCACACCTTGGCTGAGTACGAGGTGCCCAAAAAGTTCTGTTTCTTTTGACCAGCCATGCCACAGGAGGTGACGGCAGCGCTGCTGTACTCTAGCATGTGAGTAGTCCTCCGAGAGGTTGCTCCGAACTGTGGCGAGCTGGTCCTTCCTCAGGCATGAAACCCGACAGATCCTTCTCCCAGTTCTAACTGGAACAGAAATAGTTGCAGGGCCAAAGTAAATTGATGGAAATGATGCAAAAGAGCAAGCCTGCTAGCCACTGACTTACAAAATGGATGTAGCCCGAGAAGCAGTCCTCCTCGGCAGACCAGACCAGTGGCAGGTTCAAGTGATAGTGCCAGGACCTTGGTCAGTTTCTGCACGATGTTTGTGCTTACCAACCTGCATAAGCGTACATCTATGGGATTCTGAATGCCTTTCTTTGCTTTTCTTCGGCGAGCATTTTGGATAAGAAGGAAGGCATTGAGCTTCTGATCTGAGTCTGTGTAGATCCTGGCGCCCAAAGTCGAAGTCCTGAGCTCCCTCACAGATCGGGCTGCATGACCCAGGAACAACAACCCGAGACAAGCCCTGCTTTGCATGGCCCGTGCAGCAGCCCAAGCCTCCTTCCTTCAGAGACCCAGCGTCCAAACGCATTCGAGTTCTCAGGCCGACATCCTCATCACAAGTCTCAGTAGCGAAGGCCTCAGGTGCTGGCTGGTGGCCCTGGATATGATATGTTGCGCTAATGGCCGCCGGCCACCGCCCACCGCCAACGGCACGCAATAATAGCTTCTCATCAGACAGTTGGAATGTAGCGCTTGCAATTGCAGATGAACATAAGCCGAGCCATCTAATCAACATCTGTCTCGGCTAAGCTACACTGGGTGACAGAGCAGCGTCCTGTGGTTGTGTGGGTCGTTTCCTGAACAAACCTGCAAATGACAAGAAGCGGCCAAGAGAGCGTGATGAGCTTCAGGATTCCTTGGTAAACTTAACGCTTGCAGAGTGCAGCCATGTTCGCTCCTCGCAGCCTGCGACGCAGCACAAGCGCGCCAGGCAAGAAGCTCTTTTGAAATAAGTAGATATACATTGCAGAATAAACTAGAGCTGGCTTCTTCAGAGCCTCCAGGACGGGCAGGTTCACCAGGCCCCACGGCAGCTTTTCCAACTTCTCCGCGCAGGCATGGTCTCAAGGCTTTTTGTTCTTGCACGTCTATCTAGTTAAAGCAACGCAAGGTCTCGTACTAAGCCGTTCCTTGATCTGAACGAGCCATCTTTGGCGGAGAATGCGGAGAAGAAGGTCTTGAACATCCTAGCGCTGAATGGGGATAGACAGACGGATCTGCGGCTGTCATCACCCGTTGGAGACAGCAAGATGGATGGCTCCACAGCTGCTGGAGACGATTCTGTGGCGAGTGAGAAATCTTCAGATATAGGCGCTGAGCGCACAGACGATACGCCAGCAACAGCGCAGGTTGCTCAGCTTCGGAAGACGCTGTCCTATTCTGCAAAGGGTATCCTGGCTAGTGGCAAGCTGAGGGAAAGCGCCTCAGGACCAATGCTGCCCCCAGGTTCACCTGTTTCTCCAGCGACAAGCCCTCGCTGCTCAATCTTAGCTTCCACCTCGCAGCTGCCACGAGAGAGCACTGGACCCCTGCTGTTGCGGAGATCAGCAGTCCCAATGCCAGTAGCGGTAGCGCCTCCTGGCGCCCATGTTGGAGCAGTGTGGCAGCGCCCTGCTCGTGAGAGCTCGCCTCCCTGCCAGGCTTTAGCTACAAACTCCACAAGCGCGCCCCAACAAGTTTGGGGTCAGCAGCTCCACGTCATGCGAGCTGCACCACCAGCGCTGCAGCCGGTACGGCCTTTGCTGCCGCAGGTGCCACAGGTGGTCACACATCCGGTGATGCAGCCAGCATTGCCGCTGCGCGCGAGACATAGCGTGCTGGCAGACTCTACGTCCGCTGCCCAACGCGGACTTCCAGCACAGGCGGGGTGCACGAAATGTAATCAGCTATTCCATACGCTTTTAGGGATTTGTATTTGAAGGTCGTCACAACTGCCTCTGCTCCAGTTCGAGTCGTCCAGTGCAAAGCCGCGAGCCTACCGACATGTGTTGCAGTCCGCAATCTTGTCGCATGCCCAAGAGACGAACTGCTGTAAACAGTCAGCGAGCAAACAGGTGCTGCTGCATGAAGGTAGTAGTGGCAGCGCGATCCAATCCTTATAGATGCTCTTTGGAGATCATGAATAAGGCTGAATGCTTTAAAGCACGGGTGTCAAGTTTTTGTTCGAAACAGCTGCCTGAGACAAGAAAACTCAAGCCATGCGTTTTGGGCCGTAGGGCCAGCAAGAATGGCACGAAGGCAAATGTGCGTTAGTGTTGGAAAAGCAAGAAGAGCTCAGGCAAGCGCCCCAGGATGAACATCGCAGGAATTATAGCAGTAGCCAAAAACACCAGCAGATTGCAATGCCTAGCCAGGGCACAGCAGTGGCGCAGAACCTCCAATTGGTCCGCAAGGAAAAAAGGGCCTGCATAAAATCAGGCCAACATCCAAACCAGAACCTCCAAACAGTTGTCTCTGCGCTCTGGCTTTGTCATTGGGTTTTGGAGTTTTGGTAGGCTTTTGCATGCTCTCACCATGTCGACAATGTTGCCATGGTGGGAAAGAGAGCATTTTGCATTTGCTGTCCATGGCTGCGCTCTTGTAGGGTTCCCCTCAGTTGGGCACAAGAACTGTTTGAGTTCTGTGCTACGGAGAAGGTGGAATTGTCAGGCTGAAGCTAAGTTCCTGGAAGTAAATGGGAGTTCTGGAGGCCTCTCGCGGATCGATCCAGAAGATTAAGGCAGGCAATCCATAATGTGCGATTGTTGAGGTCGTATCCGCTGGAAGCGTGAACGTGGAATCCGTGAGGGTATGGGCCATACAGGTAGAGCTGTGATCTTGAAGAGTGTCCGCGCCCAGGCTTCTGAATATATTTTTCCCGCTTAGGCCGTCCCGCGTCCGCATTTGAAAGATCCAGCTCAGCTCCACGCCGAGGAGCTCAGAGAACACTTGACATTGGTGGTTTCATGCCTCAATCTAGCCAAATGGCGGTGGATTGGTGGCTTGGTACCCGCAAGGCATTGTAAGCTGTGTGGTGTTGGCTGTTGGCGCAAGGAGCAGATGGCCAAAGAAGCGGCGGCATCAGAAAGGCCAGAAACTGTGATTGCGCTTCACATTGCAAATCAGCACATGCAGTCTCCCACCAAGAGAGCCGGAGAGGGAGACTCTACCCTCAGCGGTAACGCTTTCACTCAGCATGGCCTCACTAGTTTTCGAATTCCTGGAACGCACATCGACCGTTCCGCAAGGCGCGAACTAGCTCGTTGTGACCTCTGTGAGGCGGTGCTGCTGGGGCATCATGAAATCATGACCAGCCTGCGCATGGCTGGAGGCATGAAGCTCCAGGATGTAGGTCAACCCCTTGAGCCGTTGTGGCTGAAGGATGTCAGGGTAGCAAAAGCTGGTCCTTTCCTTGATGCCCACCTGACACTTCGACAAATTTCGATATATGAGAGCTGCAGCCCAACGTTAGCTCCACGTTCTGAGCGAACACACCCTGTCCACCACAAGCATGGCTGAGTTGCAAGCCAAGACACGAAGCTGAGATGGAGACATTACAAACCCAAGCTGACAGAGAGACACGTAGAGCGCTTGCCATGGTGCTGGATTTGTCACGCACACGCGCGGGTGCTGGCCGAGATGCTTTGACGCTGTTGCTCGTGCCGCTTGCTCGCTCTCCAGCATGTGTGGCTTCTTTTCCATTTAAGCTGTGGACTGCGGACTTGTGCCCATTCCAGAATCTCCTTCCACAATTAGCTAGTTGAGGGGACAAGCTATTGGCTGGTATGGCCACCCCTGGTGCGACCAGGACGGCATCTGCCGGGCTTTGCCTGAGCCACCGCCGGATTCGAGAGGACTTGCTAGCGAAACCTGGATGCAAGTGCCAGAATGTCTCGAGCATCACCATACTGCAGGCGAATCTTTGTTTCATGATGCGTTTAGGTTAGGTTTGTGGAGTTTGCATTCTTCTTTGCGCAGGTCTGCCATGGATAACTCAATTGCCGGCTCTTCATGAAAGCGTGCTCGCATCTGAGGCATTTCCGGCACCTCGCCAACCTGTTTTTCAGAGTATGCTCTGTTGACACGGTAAAGGCTGAGTCTGGCCCGCCTCTCAGATCTAGATTGCACAAGGGTTGCTAGTGCACCGCGAAGGGTTTTCGATCAGGCGCCGCAGAGCTGGAGAACCCTGAGCTTGAGGATCTGGGTGCTGCGGAAGGATTCGGTTTCTGCAGACATGTCTAGAAGCTATCCGATTAATGATGTATCAAGGCATGTAGCGCAACTGTGCATGACCGGGCATGAGGCCGTCAGCTTTTTGAATGGGGTGCTGGGCAAGTGAAACGGAAGAGGTGCGAACATGCTGTGCAACTGTGCAAGTCAAGCCTGGATTCCTAAAGCTCTTTGCAGGCGCTCGGCTGGCAAGGCCGAGGTGTCTCTTGAAGATGAGGCAGCCAGAAAGCAGCTGCCTGGGAAGCAGCGGATCTTCTTGAGCCATGGCTTCACAACGGCAAACCTAACTGCATGCTCTGAATCAATCCGCTGTTGGCTGTCCACTCAATAGCATCGGAGAAGTGAGCCTGGCGCTCGGACTGACTTGTTTGGGCCAGTTGGGGTGTTCAAGCCACCCTGCCTGCAGTTTAGACTGGACAGGAGAGCAAATGTACATGGCCTTCTGCAGGAACCTCCTCAGCGCTTGTACAGTACATGCAGGGCACGTGCATGCTGGAGACGCCGCTGACCAGCCGCAAGTTAACTAGATGACCGCAACAACATTCCATGACCATCAGCACTCAAGTAACAGGCATTTGGCTGTAATCGTCGAGCTGCTTGTGAATCATGATTTTGTTGTCCTTTGCCTGTGTGCTTGCTTCAGACATTTGTCTTGAATCACAGGCCGCTGTCAAATGAAGAATAAGCAGACTTAGCAAACTTGCGTGTCTTGTAAGCTGGCACTCTGAATCCTTTACAAGGAAGACCTACGGCTGTGCCCACAACAATTCCGACAGCAACTGGATCTGCATTCAGCTTTGTCTTCCTCAGGTACATGCAAGACAGTAGCTTCGCTTTGGGTTTCATTCCTGAATTGGACTTTTGTCTCCGCAGTCGAGGTGAGTTCATGATGGGCCTTCTGCAAGACTATGGCTATTCTTTGACAGAAACCATGCAAGATGCAGATGCGCTAGTGGTGAACTCGTGCACTGTCAAGGGCCCAAGCCAGGACCCGCAGTTGGCAATCATCATTTTTTCCATGACTTGTGAAGCATATTGGCAGCTTGGATTGAATTCTTGATGCATCGGTGCGAGGACAACGCAGTAAATCTGGTTAAGAGCGCCCAAGATGCGGGCAAACCAGTTGTGTTAGCCGGGTGTGTGCCCACAGCGGATGCCAGCCTCGCCAAATCTCTTGCGGGTGCGCCTCGGCTTTGCTAGCGTCTTCGCATGTTCCGTGTGCCGTCACTGCGGCTCTATGTGGATTCTCGGTGTCATTCGAGCCCTGACATCTGAGGGCAAATTAACTTGCTGCACCATTGTGCCAACGCGACTGTAACAGTGCCCATAACTAGGTGAGCATGCTGGGCGTGACGCAGAT